AATACGATTGTACAGCTTAAGAAAATATCGTTGAGAAATAAAATTTTCTGAATTAAATTATCTCTTCTTTTCTCTACGACTCAATGGGCATGTTTCATCGTCTAATTCCAAGATGTTTATAAACAAGAGACTATTTAGCAACAGTACTGTAAAATACTTAATACTGATCACTTTCTATCAATTGGTGACAAAAAAACTAGGGGCAAATAAAAACTTAAAAGTTTGTTTGTAAGGAAATGAATAAATTAAGATATCGGTGTACAAATTAAAAGACGATATTATTTCATCGAACAAGAAGCAAGTTCTCGGAATTGAAACAAAATTTCCCATATGAGTAAAGGAGGAAGTGCATTCGTTTCAAACACATGCAAATAAATTTGTCTAAGTAAAATTATTAAGTTTTGGTCAATATACTTCTAGGACTAACATATCTAAGAATATACGAGAATGCAGCCTTGTTAGCATTGTCGTACATCAGAAATCAGCTTCATTTTCACTCCCAATTAGTATGATCAATATTCAAATATCATATTATGGAATTGCCATCTTTTATTAACCTGGAGGAATAAGCTTCGATCATCATCTTATATGATATTTAACTTAAGTGCTCTTGTGATCTATATAAATGATCTCTTCAAGCCTGATATGTGAAACTTCATTCATTGCAAAGTGGTCTGAAAGGTATCATGTTGTTGAAATTGTCAAGAAGAAAGAAGAGTCTCTTATAACCTATCAAAACAGGCTGCTGAAAGGTAAGACAGATCCTTAAGGAGGAGTTCAACTGGTCAATCCATCAGTACTATATTAACATGATATAAATGCTAGTATTTAAGTTATCAAAAGATTTGAAAGCTTTCATGTATATGAAATAAGGTTGTCTCAGGACACGACGGCATGTTCCTAGAAATCTCTACACACGGCGGTCAGATATCACCTTTTATATTTAATGAGGTAATAGGTTATCTGACCATACTAATCTAGAAGATAAGATAGATGGAGACAGAAAAACTTGTATGCTGAAGATTACAGCGAAAACTCATGAACGCATAGCCCGCGAATAGTCCCTGCATTCGAAACTAATTGTTTTTCGGCTACTGGTGCTTCTTTATTTGTCTCAGTACTTCCTTCCCACGTTTTTTTCTACAGAACGGCTACTGGTTGGATGCCATCTCTTCTTGTTTTTCCTACCGACATCACGCTAAGCACTATCTATATATGTTCTTATAAGCAGTACTATACAGTACAGTATCTTAATGGATTCAAACACCGACCATTCTCTTAACGAACACAAGAGAATCAAGCAATTTAAAAATGATTAATTATACAATAAACAAATTCACCATGAACATAACGAGAGGATCAGATTGACTAAAGAAGTGTCTTCGATACAAAGTTTATAGTAGTTCAACGCCTACCTGAAGTTCGAGAACGGTGAACTCGATAAAATCTCTCAGGCTTTAGGTCTGATCACAGAAATCCAGGTTATATATCTACCATCAGTTGGATTAATACAGACATAGTTGCTCGAAATCAACACTAGCTATATTACTTAGGTTGGAAGTTACATTTGACTGTATAAAAACATCTTATGACATTGTTTGAAATAAAAACAAATGCCTAACAAAAGAGATGCTCTTCTTGAAGTCATGCAATTAGGTAAGGGTTTATACAAAGTTTTCATCTGATTTCAGACCAACTAGATATCCTGATAACCTCCCAGGATAGACAGCTAAACATTTGGTTGAAAAATTCTGAATCTCACCTCAACTGACCAACAGAAACGCTCAAGTTACCTAACATCCAGCGTAAGCAAGAATGGGACGTGGATGTGAGTCCTAAAACTCTCTTTGAAGTTGTGAAAGCTGTATCGAACCAAAAAATATGTAAAGCAGCGGAACCTGATAGTACGACAGCCAAAGTTTTCAAAAATGGAAGAAGAAATCGCTAATTAAACTGACAGAAGTACTAGGTGGTGTGTAGGAATCAGATGTAGTGCCACCAGACAGGCTTACTTCTCTGACCATACTAGTCTATAAGAGGGGAGGGAAGTCTTCCTGTGACAGACAGAGGAAAATTAGTTTGACTAACATCATATCAAAGGCTCTAGGGTCCATAGTTATCTAACATCTAAGTGCAGCGTGAGAACAGCAAACTAGAGAAAATCAGGCACGGTTCTGACCTGGACGAGGGTACACCATTCATATTTTTACACTCCAACAGGTCCAGGAAAACAGGTATACTTACTGGCCACTGGCCAACACTTGCTCTGTTTATTGACCTGAAGGCAGCATTTGCTTCTCTCAACCGTCGGGTGTTGCAGCAATGTCTGACTGTGAAGCCAGTACCAACCAAGTATATAATGCTAATCACAACTCTCTACTCAAACTCACACAGTCGTGTACGGGTTTGTGGAGGGATGTCATTTGAATTGAAGACAAACAGAGGTGTCCACCAGTGATATCCATTGTCACACTTCCCATTTAACTTTGTCAAAGATGTACTAATGGACATAACATTAGGTATGTCCCACTTCAGAGGGATTCATCTACTCCTTGTAGGTCATCTGGTTGACTTGAAGTATTCAGACGATATTGTACTACTAGGTGAAGACATTGACAAAATGCAGGGTCTTGTCGACGCATTGACCAGAAATCTCAGTATGTTTGGCTTGCGTTTCGCTTGCACCTATCATATGTAAGATGATGCTCCAGAACTGGTCTGCTGCAAGTATCCCCTGTTTAACGGTAGCAAGAAGAGTGTCAACCACTTCACTTATTTGCAAAGATTGAATCAGCCTAAACCGGTTGGTAACTGATGAAATCTCAGCTCGGATGCAGAAGACAAGTTTGTCATCCTTCAACTTGCGTCATCTGTGGTGCCAACTGGTGTGATATCCGACTACCTATCAAAGGATGAATATACTGTGGTGCTGTTTGTTCTGTCCTGTTGTTCGGCAGTGAGATATGGTCGCTAAAAGAAGAAGAAATGAACTAATTACAGGTATCATCGAAGCGTTACTTGCCTTTGGTGGAATCATCGTGTCAGCGATATTCAGATCAGATGAAGGATGCTACGTTAGTCAACTAAGATGATTTGGACATGTAATTTGCATGCTGTGACACCATCTTCCTCGAAGTATCTTGGTAGGGGAAGCTGGGTTGTGTTGGAAGATAATTCAGAATGGTCAGAACAAGGCCTAGTACCAGTCCACGCAGTCGCTTACTGTTGATCTCAGTCATGTGGGGAGATGTAGACTGTATGCTTAGAGTCCCCAAGATGAAAGGAACGAGTTGTTGAGGTCTCTTGGTGACATGGCTGGATATCGGTCACAATGGTGCGGATGTATTCAGTCATGATATCTTCTAAAGCTGGAATATCTATACTAACCTTTAACTCCAAATTCTGTATTCTCTCACACTACTTTGTCTTTTTTGAAATCACTCCTTTTCTATACAGTTGTTCTTTGTGTACTAATGTGAGGTGTGGTAACTTGAGCTGATGCACTTGTGTAAGTTTCTACGTTGATTTTACCAGTCAGTCGGCTTTATTAAGCGCACACCGATGGATGCGATTCTATTTACCTACAAATTCCAAGCTATTGGATCCTCCGCCAGTATACTCTCGTTGAACTACAGTATGCAGAATCAGTCATGTGGGGATATGAAGGATGAATGTAAGTCTTTGGAATGTCTTGAGCTACTATGACCTCTTGGTATGAGTGAAAGGTTGGTTAAACCTAAACACGGATAAAAACGATATTTAGAAATCTGTGTACCTCTGACGCCGGCTATTCATGTGGAGATTTGCTAAAAAGAGCACGGCACAGCAGTCATTCTTTGCTATCCAACAGCTATGAGATGAATTTAGAGTTGTATGGCATGAGGAGCTTAAAAAGCTTTAGTTATAGGTATCTTTGTAAAACTGGTAGCGTGTGTGCTGGAGCCACAGGTTGGGCAATTTTCATATTAGAATGGTGATTCTTGTTGAAAAAAAATTAAATTAGTCGATTAGGGTATAAAAATTTACCAATCGAAGTGATGAATAATTTGTGTGAGTTACCTCCACCCCAATAGGAAATGTTAGGTGAATTAAGATTAATTTTTCGGAATCCTAAAGGCAAGTGGATGCAGTTACGATGGGATCGTGGCGGAAACCCATAATAGCGGACATTAACTTCGTAGACAGATGCATCAAGTTTCATTTTGATACTACTTGCTTGATTGTGGATAGCAGTGGAATCCAAGATGCTTGTTTTCTCCTGTTCAGGATTCGTCAGCAGTGCACACCACAATCTTATGAAGCATCACAGCGGATTTCTCAAAGTTCTAGTGAGAAATCAAATCCGGAGTGAGGGAGATGACTACAAATGTCACCGGGTGACGATTGCTCTACAATGAGAATTGAATGAAGTAAGAAATGGTGAACCATTACATTTAAAACCAATAGCAGAATAAAAGTGTAGTCGCCATGATATCTGACTATCCCGAGTTCAATCCCCCACAGGTTTGTGGGGGCACTTTACTGAGAAGTTTCAAACTATGACAAAAAAGCTGTATGGTGCTCTCAGATTTCCAATGGTTCGCTAAATGATGCTAATCCATGATGAAAACTACTTTCAAATCAATCAATCCCTACAAATCACTCATTGAAACAAGAACTCATCAAAATCCTCAATCATTATACACATACCGAAAACTGCACTACCAACTGCATTTCCTCTCTCTCTGCATGTTTGTTTATTCTGAAAAAAGTTCGTGAAACTTTGTTTCAACTAGGTGTGCTTCCTGAAGGTAGATGTTTCCAAATATTAAAAAAATATAACGAACAATATAAAAGGCTATAAAAATCAGTTATAAAAGCTCAAAAAATGGTCTACAATTTCGAATTCCAAAATTTTAAAGAACAAACTAGAATCTTGTTTCACTGAACAAAAATACAACTTCAGCACATAAATCATTACTTCATAAGAAATCTATAATCAAGCAAAGAAATCTATCGATTTATAAAGAATACATCATATCTACAACTTCTAAAGGCCATGATAATTCATAAATTGCTGAATTCGATACCTCTTTCTGTGATAATGATTCACATTGACCAATTTGTACAGCTTGACTACCTAATTTTGTAACACTTTTTGCTAAGATATGCCAACAGTTGAAGGTTTCGTTCTTCGAATCTTCGTCAGCTTGACATAATTTTCCAACCACAGCAACATAATCTCCAATATTTGGTTTATAGTTGATACATTGGCTTTTATTCAACTCGTAAACAATTAACATTTCACCTGTACCATCATCAAGCAAAAAGTTACAATTTGTTGGATGATAACATTTAGTTATCCTTCCCTGTAACCATAACATACACCATGATAATTTCATTAGAATACCATCTTCCACTATATCCATTTCCCATATTTGTCGAATAGAATTGTATACCGGTAATCTATCAGCATTTTGAAAAAGTTGTCCAATTAACAATTTCCTCATTAACGGAGGTGCTTCTAAATTCGATGACATTATTGTTTATAAATCTAAAATGTAATAACAAATAAAGTATTAGATTTTGAGGTGAATAGGGATATTAATTTTGAAGTATTATTCATCAAGAAATGAAATTAGTTAGAGAAGCATTGAAAACCTTGGAGCACTAGACATCTGTTTCATCCCAGCATAGGACTCCTCAGCACTGCGCACCCAACACTCGGCTAAGGATCAAACTCAGTACCTCCGGGTTTTACAACGAAAGCGTTATCCGACTGAAGACCTTGGGTGATGGACGCACTATATCGCGAATTGACAGAAATTAGAAACCAAGACCCATTGAACTCCAACTCAGTGGCTGATTGACTGAAGCATACGTCGTGAAACCTCAAGGTTCTGAGTTCGATCCCTAGCCCAGTTGTGAGTGCGTACTGCTGAGGAGTATCAGACTAGGACGAAAAAGCCAGGGTTTTTAATGGTTCTCTAACCAATGTCAGTCCGTGATGAATACTGCCTTCAAAATAGAGTATTGCTTTGCTAGTTAGCATAAGATAGAAAACAGGATACATTTACAACATAGTATAGCTTGCATTTTCATAGGGAATAAAGTTTATCATTACGTGGCATCATCTGATCTATAGTAAAGCAAAAATAACGATACCCGGTTTGACATACTCATTGAAATTAGAGCAACAAGCTTACAACGTATAAGCTGAAAAAATCAATCGAGACAAAATACTTGAAACACCATTCCAACTTCCCGCTGTAAATAATTTCTAAAAAAATGATATTCAAGGAAATAGGTTCTCTCGAGAAACTTATGCGTCTGATAATAGACTAAACGTTTTAGCACAACTTAAACATTTACACTTTTGAGATGTAAGACTTAAGAAAAGTAACATAAATAATCAAACTGAAATAAACTGAACAGCGACCAGGACTTTTTTCAATACGATATAAATTATGCTGCGTAGATGAAACTTGAGATTGAGTAGTAATAGATGCATTTCTAATAAATTCTCTCAAATTACAAGTACATACGAAAATAAAAATAATGAGCCCGGTAAAACTTAGCATTACTTTTGATAAAGTTATACAATATAGATGGATTTATCCTTACGTCACAAAACAAAAGGAGTTCACAGAAGAGTTACTTTTTTCAGTGAAGTATTCTCAAGCTGTTAACCAAATTCAGCTTTTCAATATAGATAAATAAGTTCAAAAACGAACTACATAGTGTGACAGATTCATCGAAAGCCAAATCAAGATAAAGTAACTAGGTTGCATAGTGTAATACAGTTGAATGGAATAAGTGTAGTTCTCCAATGAAAACTTTTACTAGTAAGTTAGGAAGGAAAGTCATAAGGAGAGAAAACGTCACAAGGTAGTAAAGGCATGAAAGATGAACATTTTCCAAAAATAAAATCTTTGCGCAAGTTAAGTCTAATGACTTGGCGAATTTCTTTTGTATGCGGAATTCAGGCTTAAAAATATTAATCGTCATGACTTCTGGAGTTTGAATTGCACAGCCTTCATGAGACTCCTACGTAGTCTGCAGGTAACGTAAAAGTTAGAGTGTAGGTCAACCAGGTATCCACATCGGTCAAATGTTCAAAAGTTGAATTGTGAGAGGACCTTCTTTCTTCTTTGCAAGACCAAGATGTTATTTGTTCGACGAGGCGTTTAGGTAGCAGACGCTGAGAATGACCAACATACCTTACTCCACAGGAATAGGTTAATCGATAAATACACATTAAAGAGACCAGCAATGGGAGCTTACCTTATTAGCATGATAAAATCATTAGTTAGGTGGAGAAGGTTTGTCGGAGTTTAGTTGCCAAAAAATTTACCTAACTGAACAGGATAAGCGATGTTTAAATATTTCCCACAATGAACAACAGGTTAGAGAAGAGTAGCTTTTTAGAAACTACAAAGGGAGTCGGTCTCTCCGGTTTCAGCTTCACAGTTTTCACAACGAAATATTCAGGGTAGTCGTTCTCAATCTGAGTATTTTTAAGGATATTTAACTGTTCGTCATTAGCACGAAGACTGATTTGGTAAGATAACCTTCAGCTGAATCTTTCCTTGACTAACACTATGCAATAGAATAGGTAGTTGTTCGACGTACACAACACGTGACGTATCTACCTCAGTTAGCGCAGGAGCAGAAGTTCATCATCCAGAGCTGTGATTCCAATACATCCGAATAGTGCTACGAAGACATCTATAACCACGAACTTGTAACTAACTGATGCCATTCACAGTTAACGGTTACCAGGATTGATACAACTTCCTAAACACATGAAATGGTCTGCTCGTTCAAAAATTTAACTCTTTGTATTTGAACGGAGAGTTGGTGCAAACTAGTTCCAAAGTTTTCTAATATTTGATAAAAGTGAAACTAACGCAAAAAGCACTCGATTTGTTTACTCACAGTGTTCAGAAAACTATGTACCTTGCTATCTTTGCTCACTAGGATTTTTTATTTGAGCACTCAAAGTAAATCAATATATCCCCCAGAGGTTAGAGGTAAGCAAAAGCACTACCACTAACAGATAAGTTTAATTACAAATGGTCTACGTGAAAATTTTCGGTCGACGTAACTAGTTGTTTCAATTTTGAGGCTTTTGTATTCATTGATTTCAGGTTGATATTTATCATGGACTGACATCAGTTAGGACCAAACAAGTCGAACATCAGGACATTTACTCAATGGCGGCACTGAATGAAGGTCGCGCTATATCGTGAACTGACAGTAGAAAATATGGACCACTGGATCCCGACCCATTGGCTCAATGGCAATGTTCTGACCGTGATACCTGAAGGCCTTGGGTTCAATCCCTAGCGAGATCATGGTTGCGCACTTCTGGGTAATCCCACAATAAGACGGGATGGCTGTCCAGTGCCCCTCGGTTCCCAATGTTTCTCCAAATGATGTAAGTCCATGATGAATACTAACCGGAAATCAATGACTAGTTGTGTTAATTTCAGATGAAAATTCTGCCTAGGTTCATGAAAAGCTGCTTCAATTTGAGGAAGAAGGCTATAAATCTGTTTAGTGACCACTTCATAGTCAAAAGCTTCAGCAGCGTCTTTCAATTGACGGAATAAAAAACCACCTTCAGGTTAAGAAGTACGGCAGTTATCTGTTTCAGAACTTATTGAAAAGTGGAGATCTGATTCCAGCACCACTTATTGCTCATAGCGAAAAGCCAACTTAATTTATGAGCTTTAGTTAGGTGTCAACTGTCCTTACCAAGGTAAAAAGTTGATTCCCTATAGTTTATTACCGGAAGATATCTGGCTTCGCTTACATGATGAGATGATAAACGATCGAAATCAGTCTTATCGAGCTAACTCTGATTCCCATATGCTGGCGGTTATCTTAGCTACCCAAACCAGTAAATCGGAACAGATGTGAGCAAAGCTTTCTGGAAGTATATCACCAGACCTTTCTGCCTTGTCTTGTTCCACATTTAAAACAGTCTTCTCAACTTCTGTGAAAAGGCAATATTTAGATCCTATTCAGGTTAAGACAGAATGAAGCGCGGCTATGTTCCTCACCAACTTGTGCTAAAAATATCAGCTATCTTTCCTCAGAGATCATTGAGAATCTACCCTCTTGTGATACTCTTCAAAACGTACTTTTTATCAAGTCCGTTTCTATCTATCAAGTGTTAGATTTAACCGATGGCTTCCTCAGCTTTTATAACTTGCTGCTGATCACAATCATTAAAAAAAACCTTAGTCAACAATGAAGTTACCTTTGCTTCTCATCGTGATCAAAGTCAGTTGGAATGAGTCTTATCATATTAATCAGTTTGTGCGAAGTTTCAGAAAGTTATTGATTCCCAATAATCTCCAGTTGTGGGTTCTTGGTCGATTTCAGCAACGTTTTTACACCGGACTGAAGGTGACACCATGTTACATTGTGGGTGAGAATGGCTTTCACGTCCAACCAGGCAGTTGGTTAACTTTTGTCTAAATAAAATTTTGTTTTTTCATGTTTCAGCGAAGTATAGTAAGAATCCCTAATTGAAAGTTTCTTGTGCCTCAAAAACACGCGCACCCAAGTCACTACATGAACACAATCCAAGCATAGACTCCAATACTCCAAAACAATGGCTTGCAGTAATATCATCTAAATGCAACCGTCATTGGCTGGATTGTCAGCAAATACAAAATGAACCAATGCTACTTAGTCTCTCAACACTCTTGAGATGAGGTCAAGTGGATAAAAACGCGTCTTGCGTGAGCCTCTCAAATAACACATTGGTGACACACGATGATAAGGGTTTTGATTCGTGAGGCCTGTTTTCTGATCTGACACAAGGATCGGTATCTATAAGCTACAACGTGAAGCTGACAGAGTGGTCTTAGGAGACTACGAACAGTGTTCCGTTAATCTGAACCATTAGACATTATTGCACAGCAAGAAGTTTAGAAATGTGCTTTGGGGCATAAAATTACTAACGAAAACGACTAGGGAAGACAAAGGAAGGAAAAATGATGGAACCGGTTGGTAATGATCAAGCTGGTCTGTATGGTGTTAGAAAAGTGTATATGGTTGATACATTCCAGTCATTCATACTGTGGTGCACTTCAAATCAATCATTTCTCAAAAAAATGTTTACAAGAAGCAGAAAAATATCAAACTTAATACAACCTTCGCTTCAATCACTAGTTTTGTTGGTGGGCATTACTAATGTAAATCAGCACAAACCGCCTATCACATGAGATTCTTTACACCAGGGAATAAGCCCATTAAGACATTAAAAAAACAGAGTAATTCAGCGAAGAAATTCTTTTTAGCGAATCGTTTTCAGTAGTCTATTATTGGCAAATAGATGAACACGGAATATCCTACGATGAAATAGTAAGTCATTTCTAGAGTCATAAAGAGGTTGCGTAATCATGGGGTGTATAAGGCAAGTATGCAGTCGATAAGGACGACGATTAATAGGTTTAATTACAGTCAGTAATCGGAGTAAAATATTGCGAGAATGTTAACAAGGATATTGGAACTAACGTGTTAGGAAGTAGGAAAGCAAACAGAAAAATAAAAATAACCAGTCAATAGGAGTAAGACCAATATTGTAGCAATAAAGGAACTCAAAGTAGGAATTTGACAACGGCAAAAAAAGAAATGGATGTACCTCTTCCGTAAGCCGAACTCAGGCTTTAATTGTTGGGTTGCTTACGCCACTGTTATACACAAGTAACGAATCGGCACTAACTTTGAGCTTTTTGGCTTGACCTTTCATAGGATTTGGAAAGAAGACTGTGGGTAAATGACATGACTAGAGTTGACCAAATGCAATTCTATGAAGAACAATTTTAGAACTAGAAATGCTTGCTACATCTAAGCCTGCGAGATTAGAGAAGTCGGTCAGGAGGAACCAGATAGACTCATCCTAATAAACAAACGTGGCAAAGCATACACCTACACCCGGGTTCAGCATAAGTAGCTGAGAAACACAGCATACACTTAGCTGAAGATTCCAGAGTTTGATTAGCCAGGTACTAGGTCTAACTTAACACTATTTTGAATTTTCTAAAGTATAGTTTAAAGAGTAACTTTAATAGCCAAATGATAGAAAGTCAGACTCAAGTCGCAAGCATAAGTTGCAGAGTCGAGAGGTGAAGAAAATGAAGTGGTAATAGCTGGAAAAGGTAAGAGAAATTAGGAGGAAGACGACGAGGAATTTTGATAACGATTAAAAGAAAACTGAGTGAAATTGGTAGTTAACGCTTTGACGCTGCTCACACCAAAAACGACTATTTCTACCGTGGTTGTGTGTGAAAGAAAATAGGTTAGTATTGACGAAATTATCAACCTGAGTACATGATTGGAGGACTACTTACACAACGTTTTAGGAATACCTCATCCAGATATTTTTAATAAAGCTATCTCTGTACTCGAAAAACCTAACAGCATATATTGTGCAAGATGAAAGGTATGCCCTTTCCAGGACCAATCTCTTTTATTCCCTCCTTTCGATGACGGCAAGATACAATGACTGGAAATGCTGGTAATTTTTATGAAACATCTTATTATTGATACATCCTGTCAGGGAACAAGCGTTTTAGTCAACATATCTGGAACAAATCATTGAGAAAGGCAGACACGACCACCAGAAAAAGGTTGAGGATGACGACTGTAAATGTGTAACATAATAGAGAGTAACTATCCATCAAACTATTTACCGTGGACAATACTCTTCAAAAAGTATACACTCAAATGGTGTGACATAGTGCTGAACGTCGATAAGTTGAGATGTATACATCGAATTCTAGTGTTAGTGCTAACTGCATGAAAAGTTATTTAATTATATTTAAGGGGGTTTGTAGGGATTTTGAGATATTTCAGTTTGGTATTCATCGTAGTCTGACATCAGTCGGAGGAATATTGGAAACCTGGAATCACTGAACAGCTGTTCCATCCTAGTATGGGATTCCTCAGTAGTGCACACTCACGACCCCGTGACCTTGGGTTTCCGTGGCCAGTACGTTACCATTAGGGCACTGGGTTGGGATCCTGTGGTCCATATTTCCAACTTCTGTCAGTTCATGACATAACGCAACCGCTACCCAATGTCGTCGCTGAGAAGTCCTATACTACGACGAAAACGCTGTCCAGTGCTCCCAGGTTTCTATTGTTCCTCCAACTGATGTCAGACTACGATGAATACCAACTTGAAATTATTTAATTAAGTTATATTGATTAGATAGACTCATCTAAGTAATCAATTAAAGAATAATCCTTACCATTAAATAGCATTGAATCAACTTTTCAAATTCACAGAAATTAATTATAATTGTCAAACACAAAACATCCATTTCAAGCATGTAAAACGTATTAAATGAAATCAAAAGATAAAAGCATAGTGCATTCAGTGTGACATCATATATATTCTTTTACATATATATATATATATATATATATATATATATATATATATATATATATATAATGCATCCATGTGTATTTTAAATTCAGTATCACTATGTATATTTATTCATCTCAGCTAACATGTTGTTCGGAAAATAAAATTGAACAAACAAAAACTGATAGGTTTTACACTTGAAAATAGATATTCGATATGTTCAGTATCTTTAAATAAAACATACATATGCTTGTATTATATATGTATGCTTATTTGTATGAATAAATGAAACCTCACTTTTTATTTCATTATAATTATGAGATTATCACAATAATTACATCAGAACAACAGTAAATGAATAGATGAAATCAAAAAAAGAAAAAAAAGTTGATAAAATCCTGTGATAGCATATCATTCTCTGTCTACTCTTTTCCACATATTATGTGGTAGATATAGGTATATATTGTTCATCTTTTCTGATTGTATAAGAGGCACATACGGAGTTGTAGTCATCAATAAACAGATGAAAAATAGTTAAGACTTCACATCCTTTTAAAATTAGATATTACAATAGATTATAATATTGTTATACGGTAAATAATAATAAAACCAATGACAAGATAAACAAGAAGTAGTACACAAAGACATTACTCGTGAACAATTGTCATCTGAACTTTTTTTATTTCTGTTTAAATTATCATCTCATCAAAACAAAATACTATTGGCATTCAATATTTCAATGCATTAAATAGATGAATTGACCAGCTAGCTAGTTAGTAGGGTGTAGAGGAGAAAGATGAAAGTAAAATAAATAGAAATCATACTGATAAAAACTAATTAAAAGAATAAATAGGCGCCGTCACTTAACTTTTTTTTTTAAAAAACACAACACAATTACACTTGAAAGTGAGAAGAGGAAAGAAAAGAAAAAAAAGGGATGGAGGAATATTTGTGCGTTATCATTAATAAATATCATGAGCAATTATCATAAACATTGCTGGTTATATTACTGACACCCACTGTAACTATATATCTAAGAGTAATAGTAATTTTTAAAAAAACCACTACATAGAAAAACCCCATTGTTAATAATGAATATAAGCGAATAAAATAATGAATTCTTTTGATTGATAAAATAAGAAAATTTACTGGATTCATAGATAATATCAGTAAACTATAGATTGATATTTGGAAAATGAGCATATAACACAACGATGTTATTCATCACTTTGTGCTTAGAGAATAATCGACGTCATCAGTCACAACAGTGATAATCTTCATGACGATATATAAAATAGCATTTATAAAAATATAAGTTTCAAACTACACGAAAATCACAGAACAATGCTGTTATCGTTCACTTCGTTGCTGCAGATATCCTATATACTCTATATAAACAGTTAATGGATAGCTTATTTGTAGAATATGAAAATATATATTTACTAGTTTCAGTCGAATATGTGTGTATCAAAATTTACAGCTAAAAACAACAAAGATTGAATTTAGACTTGAATGGAAGAAACTTTTAACAAAGTATGTGTATATATGCGTACAAGAAAGAACTGGTAATAAAAAAAGCTGAAGAAGGTAATCATGAAACACAAGAAAGAAGAAAATAGTGATATATATGCTTCCCAATATGAAGAAGTTTAAGAACAATAAAGATTTTATATTTTGGAACCACCAACTCCAGCGCTGGGCCCACGTGATCTTGTCGCCGGTGAAAAACCTCTACGACGAACACCAGCTGAAGATGAGGCTGATGGCGGTAGATCTCCAACACCCTGATAAGTAATAAGAAACATATGAATAAATAAGAACAGTAACAGAGATTTATCACATGCAAAATACCATAAATTCAACATTCCAGAAGTTCTGCTCATTTAATCCAGCTTCTCGTTGATATATATATATATCACCATCTTTAGACATTTAATCCTTCCCATTAGTCTTTTGAAAATAATTTACCGAGTGTCCCCTACAAATTAAAGAACTCCGTCTACATCATCTACAAACATCCGAATCATTCATATTTCACAACTTTGAGCCAGATTGAGTGACAAAAGCAATGTAGAACTTCCCACACAGGTGCATCAGTTCAAGTTACCACACCTCACATTAGTACATAAAGAACAACTGTATAGAAAAGGAGTGTTTTCAAAAAAGACAAAGTAGTGTGAGAGAATACAGAATTTGGAGTTAAAGGTTAGTATAGATATTCCAGCTTTAGAAGATGTCATGACTGAGTACATCCGCACCATTGTGACCGATATCCAGCCATGTCACCAAGAGACCTCAACTACTCATTCCTTTCATCTTGGGGACTCTAAGCATACAGTCTACATCTCCCCACATGACTCAGATCAACAGTAAGCGACTGCGTGGACTGGTACTAGGCCTTGTTCTGACCATCCTGAATTATCTTCCAACATAATCCAACTTACACTAGCATGGAACTTCAAAAATAACATGTACACTCATTGACCTTACCAAGCACACCCCGAGTAGTAATTCTCTTCTGTCTCTAGAAACAATTTTTTTTTACATTTCACGCCTAAGCATTATACATTATAGTAATTTCGTGACCCAACTGATTAATAATTCACTCATATTTCTCTCGAGTGATTGTAAATACGATTGTACAGCTTTAATAAGTGAAATTTTAGAAAAGAAAATTTTGTTCGCTGTTACGTCTTTGTTCCAGGACTAAATATGGCGATTTCTGTTCATTACGAAATAAAAAGACAAGCGCATTTGATACACTGTCTTCTTGTAGGATGATGATAATACCTATAAGTCTAAGGCAAGGCATGTGAAATATACCTGAATCCATGACCTACTTGGTTGGCAGTTGGATATTAACATTGGTGAGTTATACATATATGAAGAGTTTCAAAATCAGTTACGCCATTCTCTTGAAAAGTTGAAAATACAGACTGTTGGTCAGTTCCAAACTACAAGAAAACGGTTGACTATTATTCGTTGATATTTAGTGCTTTTTTGTGACGAAAAATTGACGTTCAAGTGAATAGCCTCTAAACAGTTTAACTAAAATGCTACAACAAAATACATTCTCTTATCAAGATGAAGACAACAGACAGTGTATAGAGATACAATTCAATGTGTTCTATGTTCAGTGAATAGTCAAAACTCGCACCAGACACGCTGATACCGATCATCTTTAATTCGTTCAGAGAGAGATAAAGCATAGTTTTGAAACAGTAGTGAATATTTGTAGCTCAGGTGGATGGTCTTGGTTGTATTATGTTCTTTGGGCTGAGAGAACATAATACAACCAAGATAAAGCATAGTTGTTTGTCAGCTATTGCTTATTTCTTATTTGCAGTAGCGTTTCGTCTGTGCTTCGTTTCACTTAATTCCCGTCACTCCCATTTGAAACTACTACAATAGATGTAATAAGATGATAACTAACTAACTAACCAAGGTATGTTTTAAAAAATGGAAACAGAAAATTAATACATCTGGAGTACAGAATTCTGTGGGTGCGCCATAAAAAATTCAATAATGATATGATCATGCAATCTGGTAACTAAGCACACGTTTTCGTTTACCAGACAAATGGCCACACCTACAACGTGAAGGTTGAAAGTACTATTTAGTTGCAAAGAGTAAAGTAGGCAAAGTAAAATTTCGGCCTGTATCAGTGAATTAAAAGTCGAATATTTGGATAATGACCAAAATTTGACAAATATGACTATATATATATATATATATATATATATATATATATATATATATATATATATATATATATATATGGTTTCCTCGGTTTTCTTCCAGAGTCACTTAAGCGTCTTATAATTACAGGACATAGAATCCCCTGTGTTCATCATTACAGGGTTTCTCTCTTTTTTCAAGAGCTAAGAAAACTAGCAGATGAAACTAATTGAATGGATTATGTCTGATTCCCATACGCTAACCAAAACTTCAGTGAACCCAATAACTAATCAGAGACCTCTGTCCTTAAATACCTCTGGTACTAGAGTCAGACCATACTGACCTTCTTCTTTTCAGATTCTTGCTTGTATTGTGTTCCCCGAGCTGGGTTGTTTAGTCATGAAGCTTTTATCGTCGATCTGGACGACATCATCAGCACTAGCTTCAGTGTGAAGTGAGCTGTCAATATCTCTCCGCGAGGGATTTGGTGGCTTGCTCTGACCACATCAAATCTCCACCTACACACCCACCGGCTGCAATTCAGATGACACAAAGGGTAAATTCTATCGAAAGCTGACAATTTCGCTTAAGAAAGCAAAATGTTCAGACAGTCATAACAGCACGAGATTTCGACGCTGAAGTAGGAAAGCTGGATTAATCAAGAAAACATCTTGCAGATATTCAAAGCCAAAGAAACTGATATCCGTGATCGTCAGCACCAACTTTGAACATAAAGAGAGACACTATCTAACATGGCGTCAGTTAGCATCGAACCAATGACGGAGTAAGATTTGATCATACTGCTACAGGCCATCGTTGAGGATGATCGGCGGAGGATTGCCATTTTTTCCGAAGTGCGTGTTTGGGCTTCGATCACGAGTTAGTACGAACACGTTTATGTCTGCACCTTACTGGCAGCAGGAAACACGTGGCTGTTAAGCCTGTATGTGCTCTATTCGAAGATGAGGACATCAAATGTGTACTTAGGGAGGAAGTAGTCGAGCATTTATTTGAACTTATTAGCAATCCACTGCTTGATGAAGCCTAACGTGATATTCAGTCAGCTGTAGCAATAACGGTAAGAACACTGGATAAGCTTAATTTCAACATTAGCAAAGCCAGTGGATTTCTGTAAGCTCACTGAAACTGATAAATGCGAGAAAAATCATCCCAGCTGGCTCTGATCACAATGAAGAGAGTAAGAAGCTCAAAGATAAACAAATTAAGACTCTTCACAATTATCGTGAGTTGCAGAAACTTGTAAAAGCACAAAAGAGATGGAGAAAGTATCAACATTCGGTAACAGTTCGAAGCTATTTCCCAGTTTTAAGAAAACTTGCATAAAAAAGACGACGAAAACCTCATAATCTCTCAGAATATTCATCTACAACGTTGGATAGAACACTTTAAAAGCGCAGATCGACTGGCTTACACCAACACGTTGGTTGCCCAAAACCAAGCCCAAATCCAAGTGGGAAATCACTACAGAGTGCCACTAGTCTTTATCAAACTCATTCAACAGCTACATGAAAACGCCACACGCCAAGTGATAAACAATGGAAAATTCAGCAACACCTTCGAAGTGAAAACAGGCAGGAGTAGGACAAGGCTGCCACCTACTATCACCCATGATCTTCCTCATTGTGGTCCACTGCATCATGCAACTAACTGTGAGCAGCAAGAGGATGGGCATTCACCGTACGACCGATGAAAAGAGACTAGAAGATTTCGATTTCACCAACGATGATGATTTATGCCTATGGTCACACAAACTCGAACATCTACAGGCGAAAACTAACAAGTTGACAGAAGAGTTACGGCAGAGAAAACGACACTTCAAGTGGACGTACAAAAGACCGGGTCGATGATGATACACAACCAACAACAACAACAGCATAGACAACAAGCAACAATCACCATCAACGGGAGAAACCTAAACGAAGTAGTCTCTTCCACCTACCCAACCAGGCAAGGCAGCATCGCTTCAACTACACACGGCAAACACGAGGATGTTGAAACCACAATCGGAAAAGCAAGACAAGCTTCCATCAATCTGAAACCAGTGTGCAGATCTATTCCACTCAGCATAAAGCGTGAACAACATCCGGATTTTAAACACTAATTCAGTCAACTCAGTGCCTCTATGTGATGGTTGAGAGACTTGGCGGCGCGTTACGAAAAGCATTTACAACAAACTACAGACATTCATCAACAGCTGCCGCCTATGCTGGCTCGATACTGAAGATCAGATCAAAAGGCCAGAAACAATAAGCAACAAGGAACTCTGGCTGGTTGGCTGGCAGGCAAAGAACCAACCAAGAACCTATCGCTCAACAAATATGCAGCAGAAGGAAGTGGAGATGGGTGGGATTGGGCATACTCTGAGAAGACCGTTCGAAGACATCAAGCGTCAGGCCGGGCACTCGAGTGGAACCTAGATGGGAAACGACAAGTTGGGCGTCCGAGGTGAGGATGACATGGAGGAGATCATGCAAAGAAGGAGAAAGAGAAAGAAAGCTTGTGGGCAGTCGTGGAGCCAGGTTCAAAGTACTGCAGAGAAGAGGGTGGAATGGAGGCGTACTGCTATGTTCCACTAGGAACCCAAGGGAATAATAATAATAATAGTCAAAGCTCTCTATCCGAACTCATGCAACCGCGTAACGGCTTATATAGGGAGTTGTCATGTAAATTGACGATAAATAGCGATGTTTTCCGGAGATTACAAAACTGTCATCGTTCTTATTCAACTCCGTTAGAGATGTACTAGTGGACGTAACATTAGGTATTTCCGACTTCACAAAGACTGACCAACACCTTGGTCATCTGGTTGACTTGGAGTACGCAGACGACATTGTCCTGCTAGATAAAGATGTATGGTCTTGTGAACGCGTTGACTAGAAATTTGAGTATTTTTGGCATGCATTTCACTCCTGTCAAATGTAAGATGATGGTCTAAGACTGGTATGGACCTATTCTCAGTTTAGGGATACGTGGTGAAGTGGTCGAATGCGCTCACCATTTCACTTACTTGAGAGCTGCACCAGCCCGGATATAAAAATCATTCTGGCATATACCAACTTGCGTCTTCTGTGCTGCTGGTGAGATTTCGTGACTTCCTGTTGTACGAGTTTCTCCGTCTACAAGTCGCTATGTTCTACGACACGGCTGAGAGAAATGGTCATTGAAAGTAGAAGGTATGAAGAGGTTACGGGTCTTTGATTACAAGTATTTTCACACCATCACTCACGCATGGTAGGGTTATCCTGTGAGTAATATCGGGGTCAAAGAACCGTACTTTGCAAGAAAGGTAAGCCAGTTGATGAGGCTGTAAACCTTTAGCGACTTGGACAGGCATTGCGCATGCCAAGTTACTGCCTGCCACTATTTGTTGTGTTAATTGAAGTAGGAATGAGTTGGAAGAAGAGTGAAAGTGATCATATCAAGATGTGATACAAGTCTATGAAATCTCTGACACTTAGTCTGAGTCGTGTAGAAAGTTGTAAACTATGCAGGCTCCCCAAGACGGTGGGAATCAGTGGCTCTTGGTGAAGTGGTTGAAAATTAGTCACATTGGAGTAGGTGTATTCACTCTCTGATGACTTAAAAGGTTTGGAGACTTTAACTTACCTTCATTTATTTTTTTTCTCTCCTCCCATACACTTTGATGTCTCTTTTTCGACCTACATGTTCTCTGCATGTTACTGTGAACTGTGGTAACTTGAACAAATTAACTTCTGTATGAGGTTATACGCTGATTTATCTATCTTGTTTATCTGCAACGTTAACCATTATAACACATTGAGAGCTATCTATCGGGATCTCCCACAGTTTCTAGTATTATTATTATATACCAATAGCAATTTTGACTGAATTAATGTTACTTAGAGTTACCATACAGAACTTATGGAAATATTTGAATAGTAATTTAGTTTTAAGTACCCATTCAAAATAATTTTATATTATTACCCACTGACATAACTGCGTAATCAACTTCAAAAATATAACACATTATAGTAAAACTGTCCCCAATAAACATGAACACTGTGTATCTATGATGAAAATTTGATATTGTTATACGAGGATTTCATTCCATTAATTATTTCTTCTCTAGCTTTCTAGAAAATTTATGGATTCATATACTGAGTTCGTTGTACATACATCAAAGGAAAAAGATGTTCATTTTGTTGCATGGATGATTTAAATATAACCACAGACACTAACTTTTATGACATGAACTCCAGAAAACTGTTAGATAGAATTATACAATTTGAATGAATAACCCAAAAAATCATTCAGCAATGTACACGTATACCTTTTGATGAATTTGATCCATAGCCTCTTTTAAAGCTCGTAACGACTGTCCACTCAATTGACGATGTGCTGTTCTCTCAAAATCTGGATGCTGCATTAATGTACTCAATAGACGACGTCCGTAATAGCTAGTTAATGAAGTGCACAGAAATAAAAATTAATTTGATAACTTTAAAGAAGGATATATGATAAATATCAAACCTTATGTTATATTATTTTGTAGATAAATGTATCTTACTGGCTACGACAATCTACTTTAAGTTATAGGTGCCAAGTTCAATATTTGCTCCACCTGTTTTGGCATGTCCAATTTGTGGGGTTTACCACGCTACCCTAACCCCAAACAGAGAAATCTGGCTCATAGTTTTAAACACAAAACATCTATTTGGTCAATGAGTTGAAAAAAATTTTTATTTTTATTAAAACTCTTCAAAAATTCTTATCATTTACATCTTAGTGAAAATACAAAAAGAAACTGAATTCAATGCACCAATTGAAAAGGCTACTCAACACATAGTGAATTAAAGTGTGAGTGACAGTATACTGTCCACTTAGTTTTGTAACAAATAGTAAACTGAAATATCTTCATACTAGATTTCAATGGATTATTTGCTTTTACTTATTTATTTTTAGATAAACTCAACTGCAGTTAGGAGGAGGGAATTAAAAATAATGTCATCTTAATTTTCATCCATTTTCTCAGTGAATTGTGATCAGTAGAGTTACGATGCTCATTTCCCGTTGCGATACACAGGGCTGATGAGTACTGGGTTCGAGTCCCAACGGGAACAACACCACTTACTGGGGTGTAGGTACATTCAGCTGGTGAGTACCAAATAGGACGAAACCCACGTCCTGGATTTCTCTGCTAGTCACCGAAATCAATATTATCTTGTCATATTTTAAGGAGTCAAAAGAAAGTTCTAAATGAAATTCAGCATAAAATTCCTGAAAACAATGTAGTTATAACTTTCTCGACTTAACGATATGAGAATTTAGAAGTAGTATTCATCATGGACTGACATCAGTTGGGGAACCACTGAAAATCTGGAAGCATTGGACAGCTGTTTTGTCCTCGTTCGATCCCTAGCCAAGTCGTGGGTGCGTACTGCTGACGAGTCCCATACTAGGACGAAACAGCTGTCCAGTGCTCTCAGATTTTCAATGGTTCCCCAACTGATGTCAGGCCATGATGAATACTACTTCTAAATTAAAAATCCCCATTCATCTCAGATATGAGAATTCACAGATATATTGTACTCCAATGAACAAGTAATAGACAAAGATATAGAGCTAGTGGGAATTTTCGAACTTCCAATTGCAATAGATCTTCAACTAAATTATGTTAGAAACAATGAATTTCATCAACACTCAGTTACACAACAATAAATAAAGATAAACTATATAGTGGAATTGTCACTAATCGAAAAGTAACAGATTTTATGTGAATCCTGAAGAGATTTTCCCAATAAGTGTAGTGGCAGATAGCCAGCTAATTCAAGTAGTAACTTCAAAAGTCAGTTAAGTGAGAAGTAATCTAGTGAAGGAAGTAAGAAAAATCAACCAAAACTGAAATCAAAGGTCGAAGGTCAGCCTTATAGTAGCTGATTCAATGTGCTAATAATGATTAAAGAACACAAAAAATACACTTCTACTAATAGATTAATCAGGAAGACGACAATAGATTAACCATTAGCTGGTTCATTTAGACCTTATAAATGCTTACGAAGGATAAAATATCTTCATTTCGTTAAACAATTTAAGAAAACTGACTAATGAACAAAACTGTAACACAAGCTACAAAAAAAGGCTTTCTATTAAATAACAATACATAAATAAACTAGACCACCGTGAGTTTTACAAAGACTTCCTCAAAAAAAAAATACAATGAAGGAAATAGAATGTCATATAAGTATTACTATAAACAGCATACCCTCTTAAGAAACCTCAGAGAGTAACAATACCAACTATGAGAATAGTAAGTCACACTTACAAAAATACGCAAAACATTGAGTAAAATGAAAGCACAACTGCATATATATATATATATATATATATATATAATATGCAATGCTTTTACTAAATGTTAGGCATAAAGATCAAAAAATTTATAGCTGAATTCCTCATTTCTATTTGAAGATTGAAAAATCATTAACAAAGAAGTCTCATAATTGTCGTTCTTCACTAAAATATTCCAGCTACACAAAAGTTTTTTTTAAATTATTTTCTTAGCTGCTTTTCTTTCCAACTCTACAATATCTAGTAAAGATCATTGATTCGTAAACGCACTCTGAAAAAAAGTACTCGTTGTCATAGTAACATCTAGTTGGAAATAAACATTTACTGTGAACAAAAATCAAATCAACACTACTATGTACAAAAGACAATCACCCATTGTTAACGTTAGATAGTTACAACACAATACTGAGCAGTAATATAGATTTTATGTTAAATTATCACAGATATTTGCCAACTTGAACTATCTACTTATTTTTTATTAACACTGGAATAAGGAGGTATGTCTGAACACCTAGTATGATGAAGTAAGAAAAAAAATGTTTCCTTCATTCACATAACACTTGGGAAAAAAAACTACCAAGATTGGAGTGAAGTTGACAATGTTTTAGCCATTAAGTTATGTGACTTTATAAGCGAAGAATTGGATAAGTAACCAACAGTGTATCAGTAAGAGTACAGTCGCAACGCGGTTTTTCCTTCGAATTCAACCAATCACTAAAATTTACATTGCGCCCTAATGGTCGTTTCAAAAACAACTTCTTGATATGACATTGCGTAGATCAAGTAAGAAAGTACGTGGAAGTGACTGTAAATCTTTATACAAATATCATGCATCATTATAACTAAATCGAAGTCCTCAACAATGAGATAAAAGATAAACTTTACAGGTGAAGAAGCGGCAACAGAATTAGAGGGCATACGACTGAGTAAGAATCATAGCACTAAAAGGTTGAAAAAATCCCTTCGAGAGACGTTTCCTGGGACCAGGAAGTAATCGTGAATGGAAGATTCAGTCGAATGCAAGTTCCATGCTCTTCCAAGGTACTCTGATGCATTCCAAGTAAAACCCTTGAATATAGATAAAACAGCTACTATAGGCAACAGGTGCCATAGAACGGTTGAAGTGTTGAATAGTTGTTTCACATAGGCATGTCTACCGCAGAATGAGGTTTCGTTTAGAGTTTTTAATCAGACCAGCAGGTATATTAAAGCCAAATTTACTTAAAATGATTTAAATAATGTGCGTAAATGAATTTGACTATCTCTAAGTAGAATCAGTTGATAAAGCTGTACTAAGAGACTATTAAACCTACTGTACCATGAATATTGTTTGGTAAAATTGTTATTGGGTTGATTTGATAAAAGGCTTGCAGCAACATATAGCAAAAATTAAAATGATTTTTATGATATTTCAAAATACAGACTCAACTCTCATATGCAGCCAAGGTCAACGTGATGTATTCTCATATGTACTTGTGAATAAAATCTTTTCAACCAAGTTCTTCAACTCAATTTTGAAATGGTTGACTCGTTCATAGACGATAGTTTAAATTAAATTCAGATTACGAAAATACTAATCTTAAGACATTTCTCTAGATGATTTGCTCCGAAAACCTAAAAGAAACAGTCTTCACACAACAAAAGTACGTGTAGAGTACGATCTATGCACTTAAGACAGAGAATTATTGAGTAGTTGAAATGACCTGAAAAACGAAAAGTTTATCAAAGACAACTTTTACCAGAGCTTTTGACGACACACAAGATGAGGAAGAAACAACTATAGAGCAGAATTTTACTGGTCCACTAAAAGATAACTTTGGATTGTTACAAACAATAGTAATACAGACCGATTCAAAAAACAAGGACACTTGATTCATAAGCAAAAAACTAATAATTCCTTTAGATACATCATAGAGAATTTAGTGTTCTAAATAATGGTCAAAATTTACGGAAACTACAGACACATCATAAACAACTTACCGCGTCTCTTGATTGCCATCCGTGAGAAACTGGCTAAGTGCTGCTATTAGACGTTCCATAAACCCACCAAGAAATACTGAATTCGATGATGATAAATTAGAGGCCGAAACGGAAGAGGCAGAATTCAAATTTCCTGTCGAGCTCCAAGATGACAAACGACCAATATTAGTACTACCACCATTATTGCTACTGCCACTATTACCGCTACCACCAGACCCACGAGTAATATTGCCACGGTTAGATAAATTCATACGACCATGATTACTTAGATTCTCAACAATACGAGAAACAAGCAGTGCTGTTTGAAGTCGAACAGCTGGATTTTTATGGCTGTAATAAATAAACGTTAGAAATCTTATATTATGTAGTTACAAGGGAAGATTAAAATTTATAAAAAAGAACGACATGTTTGATTAAAAAAAGGCTAATAGTAAGGATATTAAACAGTTAAACTTAATTGGTTGAAAGTTCGGAATCTAACTTCAGTAAGGTATAAACGTAAGCGTGAGGATCAATATGTACACAACCAGAATAAATGACAGAATGGTAGAAAGAGAGAGAGAGAGAGAGAGAGAGAGAGGATCATAATATGATTTGATTACGATCCCTGTGGGAACATATCTTATGTGAATGCATATGAGGAAATCTTCAACACCTTGACCTTAGAAATGATAGTCTGTTCCACACGAAAATTGAACAATCAACGTAAATTTCAGTAAAATAACAGTAAACGCTGATCACATTTAATATGTATAATCAAGCAGCAGGACCAGATGGGATCCCACCAGAAGAACTGAGAACAGATGCAGAGACAACAGCAGACATGCTCACACCACTATTGCAGAAGGTGTGGAAGGAAGAGAAGGTACCTGATGATTGGAAGAAGGGTTACCTTGTCAAACTGCCGAAGAAGGGAGACCTCAGTGTTTGCAAGAACTGGCGCGGAATCACTCTCCTGTCCACCCCAAGTAAAATATTAAGCCGCATCATCCTGGAGAGGCTTAAAGATGCACTGAATTCAAAACTACGACCGGAAGAGGCTAGCAGGCTTCAGGAAGTACAAATCATGTGCAGACCAAATTGCGACGCTACACTACGCATCATCATAGAACAGAGCATTGAATGGCAATCAGCTCTCTACCTCAACTTCATCGACTTTGAGAAGGCCTTTGATAGCGTCGACCGAGAAGTAATTTGGAAACTGCTCCACTACTACGGAGTACCGCAAACCTTTATCCGCCTCATTCAACAACTATATGGAGATGCTACATGCCAAGTAATTCACAATGGGAAGCTCAGTGATGATTTTGAAGTGAAGACAGGAGTGGAACAAGGTTGCCTACTATCCCCCATGATATTCCTGATTGTGGTGGACTGGATCATGCAGCAAACAGTTGGGAGCTGTGAGAAGAGGGGGATACGCTGGCTGGACTGCGGAAAAGAACCTAGAAGACTTGGATTTCACCGATGAGTTGTGCCTGATGTCACACAAACTTGAAGATCTACATGCGAGAACTAACAAGTTGGTAGAAGAGGCGAGGCAGCGAAGATGGGACTTCAGGTGAATATAGAGAAAACAGAAGTGATGAAGATACCGCACCAACAACTCCAACAACAACAACAAACTCCAATCACCATAAACGGGAGAAACTCAAAGGAAGTAACCTCCTTCACTTATCTAGGAAGCACTGTTTCAACTACAGGTGGTGGCACAAACGAGGACGTCAAAGTCAGAATCGGAAAAGCAAGACAGGCGTTCATTAGCCTGAAACCAGTGTGGAGATCTTCTGCACTCAGCATGCGGAACAAGATACGGATTTTCAACACCAACGTCAAGTCAGTGCTCTTGTATGGTTCAGAGACTTGGCGCGTCACGAAAGGTATTTCCAATAAACTACAGACATTCATCAACAACTGCTTACGCTGGCTCGCTACTGAAGATCAGATGGCCAGAAAGAATAAGCAACAAGGAGCTCTGGGAACGAACCAACCAAGAACCTATCACGCAACAAATATGCAGGAGGAAGTGGAGATGGATTGGACATGCACTGAGAAGGCAGACTGAGGACATCACGCGTCAGGCCAGTTGCTCGAGTGGAATCCCCATGGGAAGCGACGAGTTGGACGTCCGAGGGTGACATGGAGGAGGTCGTGTGAGGAGGAAATGAGAGCTTCTGGGCTGTCGTGGAACCAGGTTCAAAAGATCTCAGGGAACAGAGGTCACTGGAGGCGTGCTACTGAAACCCTACGTTCCACTAGGAACTCAAGGGACTAATAATAATAATAAAAAACTGTCGACTTTCATTTACAAAGCTGTTTTTCTACAAGAATATAAGCATTGAGATGAACCACATACCATGACTCATTTAGAAGATTACGCATAATTCAAACCATCTGTGACGTACACCTAACAAGAAGTGAAATATTATTTCATTTGAACAATCATTTACTTTATCTGTTGCTAATGTTGAAAACTATTTCAATATTTTGATAAGCTCGTTAACTAATTGAAAGTAAAATGAAGATATTTAAATAAACAAGTAACCATTTCATAGTTCCAGAAGTAAATAATAGAATATATAAGGAATTTCTAATGAGTCAATAATTTTACAGGACTTGAGAACATTCAAAGGTAAGCAGTAATTACTGATCAAAATAAGATGAAGTTGTTAGTTGAACAATTATCAATGACACTGGAATATTTGTTAGAATTTAGAAAATGTATAATGAATTCTATCATAGCACTATGATGTTTATTTAATCAACAGTGTAATTTACGTTCACTAACGGAAAAAGATGAACATGACATTCACTTTAAAGTTTAGGAGGTAAGCAAAGCGCAAAAATGTCCTGAAGAATAATTACTAGATAGTTCAAATAAAAGCCAAAATCTAAGCACAAGATGACTGATATAATGCAGAAGCGCAAATTTCTAACTAGAAAATATTACGTTTTGCGTCAATTTATTCTGTAGTCATTCAGTAATTATTCACTAGATAGTAAGAAATATACTATTGTCCAGGTTTACAGTGTTGATTCAAATTCATTTAGCCAGTTTTCAATATTGCAGTTAAATTGATTACCCGACATTATGATACATATAATTTAGTGTAACACAGCTGAGGCAGTTAAAAATACATCTCGAGCCGTGCTGCAAGGACATATAATTATCCTATAACTGAATTTGAATCCACTAAACCAGTACAAAATATAGCGAGATCATCATCTAATCTCAACAATGACCTTCTGAACCTCACTTTACAATTAATTTAGTACAGAGATTTCAGCTTCTTATTAGGACTGTCAAAAATCTATTCCGAGTGTCATGGGATCAGTTCAACGTCAAATCAGGTATGAAGAGACTTGAATACAAGAGAGAAAATGCATCGAGTGTTGCCAGATTTCCTGAAATCCTCTGGTTGTTGAAAAATAACTAACAAACCACTAAAACAAAGATATTTGTTTACTATCCACACAAAATAAGTATTAATAAGAGGATGCAGTAGAGTAACCTGGAAAATGTCTGTGTATTAGGCTGTTGACTACACCAATATGTGAAAACTAACGCAAGTGAAGTGATTTTGAACAGGTCTTTCAATGCTTAGTAGCTCATCGCTTATATTTTACTAGGTTACATCACCATAAAAGTGACTAATCTAGCATGCGTTCATTTGCCAGTGATTAAGAAACATATTGTATATTCTCTGTAAGGACATAATAATGGCGATCGGCTGTTCTAATTGAATTCAGTAAAACGGGTTGAAACCGTTAAATAAATGGTTTCAAACAACTGCCAACATCATTAATATCACATAGTGCTTAAGTAAATGTCTAAAGAAATGAAGAGAACTGAAAAAGGAACTAGTAATTGGATACCTTAACTAGGTAAAAAAAAACGTGAAACTGACTCAGTCAGTCGATATCACCATAGGACATGACATTATAGGATATCGGTCCAAGTTGTCACATCTAACATCAACTTGTCAAGATACAATGTAGAGAAGTGCAAGATGAAGAAGTACGGGGGAAAAATAATCAAAAGTTTTAGAAAGTCATAGTAATGAGGAGAGAGGAGGCAGAAAAATAACGTAATGCGATACGACGTTGAGGGTGAAGTTAATGTATAGATGAATCTGCGCTACTCAGATCGATTTCGAACCACATAACCTAGTATTCAACCACCGATTTCGGTTGTCATACGAATCCCAACCTGGAAATCCTGCACGGATATGACCAAAAGTTAGAGACGTCATGAACTGATGCTATGTCTCGCCGCTTCTCATCTTCTTCCAGCCTGAACCTAATTCAGTAAAACACGCGCGTTGGACAGGTGGTGACTAGGAATGAGAAACATATATTCGAATTATTCGAGTAGATGAAGCTAAACGACTTCATGCCACGAATACCAGTGCTACGAAGTAAACGGTAGTTGAAGTGCTCTAGATTCAAAAGGTATTGTTTCACAGTGAGATGGTGGAAAAAAGGTAACTGCTGCGTACGATGTTAAGATAGTAGTTATAAGTCGGACACCTTGTTTTTTCGATCGCATTATAATAAGCCAGTCTTTCGATAAGAGTCATTCCAGATAATGTCATACATTCAAAAAAAGGACCAAATTTCAGATAAATGCTTCATTGGTTTTTAAATTCAACCAGATAAAATATAAGGTCGTAAAAGGAACATATGAATCATGATTTCATATAGAAAGCGAATGTAAAGCAATAAGATAAGAATAAAATACAAACACTGTATAGTATGTAAATCATATCGATGATTAGCAGACAAATTTTTCGCATTCGAATCGGCAAAATAAGTGAAAAAAATTACGAGGAAATGATATGTTATTTATTGTATAAATATAATTTGAATCTATTATTCTATGCTTGATTAATACTTATAAAGAAAAAGATCATTCTTCACTTGTTTTCATAATCTATCTTTTGTTATCCCTTCTTCTCAAAAAATGAACTTCTGTTACGTAAACATAATTTATAGATTAATATAAGAGTAAAACTTGGGCATTGCGATCGATTGTAATTCCATTTTAGTTTGTATGGTTACCATACAAGGAAGGTACCTCAGAAGCATTACGAAGAATTCTCAATAAGGCTGGGATTAAAGTGGCATTCAAACCGACAAACTTGCTTAGAAACAAGCTTTGTAGGTTAAAAGATCCTATCGATGCACTTCAGCAAAATAATCTGGTGGAGGGAGAGATTGATAACCGAATCGTTGTTTATCGAATCAACACCAAACACATGCAATCGAAATGATTCTGCACCTGTCCCAGATATATGGAAAATTCTACTACCCTTGTCATCACAGAGAAGGAGAGAAAATTAGGAATATATAAAGTCTGTCTCGAAGTAGTGGAGTTACCTGATATGAATATGGACAATAAATTATGTCCGAAACGTTATCCAGTAAATGCTACTGTTTCACTGTATGATATTTCTAATAAACAAACTAAAATGGAATAATTTATACATGATGACCATGAATATAATGAAGATGAAAATTTCTCTTTTTATATTCACAGAAAGGTCACATAAATGAAAATAGCATATTAATATGATCAGGTTAAAAGCAGAATAAAAATATAGGAAACATAGGAAATAAGAATTCTGAATAGTAAATATTCCAAATTTGTGACAATCTTATAATAATTCTACATAGATAAGAGTGAAAAGTGTGAAGGGAATATAAATTCGAATATCCATGACATTGATACCGATTAGTACCATATCTTTGAAAGAGGAAAGTAGTATAAAAAAAAAGTAATAGTATTAAATCATACAGAAGTAATCAAATTTTCTAATTTTATCGACTTCAGAGACAAAAATATGCAAGAAACATTTCCAGTAGACTAAAAACTAATTATCAGTTTGTTGTACATAATCTTACCAACCTAGAAGATCCTTAAAACCAGATATATCCTATTCTTTCAAACGAATGATGGCATGCCTAAGATGTCTATTGTTAATACCTTTTACAAACTGATCTTTGTCGAAGTAAATGTCGATTTATGTAAAAACTGTAACCTACTATCTTGTATATTTGATATGAATTAATAAGAAGTGGAAAGGATTACTTATGTATTCACGGATTAACATAGTGATAAATTCATTGTTGTTATTAAAATGCCTTATTGCTTCACTCAATTCACTTTGCGAATCCACAGTTCATATCAATATGATTACTAGCTGTTATAACGAGGTTCTTATCAGTGCTGACCAACTTATATTACTCGATGACAAGCATTATGATCATTTGCTTAAGTAAGATGATAAAGATGAGACAACACATTGCAGATACACCTAACTGATAGATGTGTACAGATTATTAAAAGCTCAAGTTTATGGTTTTATACAGTTTATCTTCACTAAGCAGAATTATCATATCAGTGACTAGTTCTTATACATATCTTAGCCTCAGGGAGTTCCACTTAAATAATGAATAATGTATTTTAGTAATAGCCTCATAGTTAATATATTTCTCTAAAATATTTACCGGGCAAAAACTTCAAAGGTTATTCAAGGATATTCATTAAACAGGACCAGAAAACCGATTATTGCAGTCCTCAACTTGAGCGATATAGAACATACATAAATACTCATATGACAGAATGTAAATGATATATATAGTATGAAAACCGATGGTATTTAATTGGTTACCCGGAAAAACTGGATAGAACACATTTTGAACTTGTAATTAGTGATATGAAAGGAAGTTAACATGTCAGTGATCAATAATTACACATTATATTGGAAAACTACAGTATCTTCACTATTTACATTAGTTGTTTATTCGAAATAATTATTACTTTCACTTACCCTATGCCATGTTGAATTAAAGCTTGTAATGTCCGTGATGGACTAGCATGTTGAATTACTTCATCCATAATTAAAGAGACTTCATCACGTAAGAATGCTGCAGCAGCTTCACCAGTTTTACTTAATAATACACGAATGCATACATCAACATGTGGATCCATTGCTCTGTTTAAGCCTTGGAATAAGCTACCCATAGTTTGTACAGCTTGACGTGAAACCTTTCATAATGTTGTTATCAGAAAAAATAATTGAAAAAACAATTGTTTTCATGATTAAAATATAAAGGTTAAACAGAATTCAACGAAATACATACTACAGATTAATACGTGTCCATCCATCATCCAGATCAACCTAGGACAAGGCATTACTGCGTAACGGTCCGAGTTGCCACACCTCATATCAGTACATCAAGTAAAAAGGCAGTGAGGCGCAAGATGAAGATAAGAGAATGCAGTTAGAAGAAACATAAAGTACAAAAAGAGAAACGAAGATTGGAAAAGTGGTGAAATTCGGTATAGCGTTGTTAAGATGAAGATAATGTTTGTATACATCTGCGCTACTCACATCGGTTCTGAGCCATGTCATCACCTAGAGTCTCTAACCACTGGTTCCTATTGTCCCGCGGACCCCAACCACTTAGTCTGCATCACCCCACATGGCTCAAACCAACAGTCAGAGACTTCATACATTGGTACCATGTTTTAGTCTGGCCGCCTCGGGCCTTTTTCCAGCCTGGACCTACTTCGGCCAACATTATGTGACGAGGCAATCAGCGACTAGGCATACGTAACACGTGTCAATACGTGTAAACTAAGTATTTGATTTAAAATGATAAAAGCAACTGATGAAGAATAACTAATCATGCAGGAATGAGTTTTATAAACCATCTGTGTAATAATACATTCCTTACACAACATAATGATGTGTTTCGCATTTCTGAATAGATATTATTCATACCTGAAGAGCAAAAAGTGGTAAATATTCACAGTAGGTTGTCTGACCACCACAGAAAAATGAGTTTATGTTAAACAGAACAATTTCTCCTTTGATATTAAAGAATGACTTATTTTGAAAAATTCAGAAAGTTGGTTACAACTGAAGTCATTTACCAACGAACACTTTTCCTTACACTGTTGTCAACCATTCACAATGAGCATAACAAGATTTCAAGTGTAAACCCTCCTTACCACCAGTTTTTACTGAGCCCGATAGGTTATCATTCTAGTTATACTCAGAAAGAAGTCCATTGATAGTGTAGAAAATATCATTAAAATAACAAAATGTTTATACCTGAGAACGTAAATTCCTGCATTCTGTAATTACTGCTTGTACAGTTTGGCTAAGCGTTTCAGTAGTAAGAACCAATGTTGGGGCTGAAGATGATAAATTTGTTGCAAGTTGTCTAGAGGAACCAGCGGAAGCTGAACCAGTTTGCGTAGTCTGTACTAAATGTATTGATTGTTCCGTGAAAATCTGTGCCAGCAATTCCAGTCCACTCACTTTATCTTCCCAATCATCTGAATTGACTAGATTGAGGCCAGTTGGCAATGTCAGTGGAGTACCATTTAGATTCACAGCTGATCGACCTTTCAGAAGAGGTTTATCCGGCAACGGATTTTTATCATAGTCACTTAACTTCATTGCTGAGTCTCCAATAGTCGTTACAGTTTCAGTAGAATGGGATTTCATGTTTACTGACCTGAAAAAAGACGAAAAAATATGTGTAGGTTTAGTGCAAAGTAGTTCTTCATACACGAGGTTAAGGAAACAAAGCCTATTTAATTGAAGTACAACAAAGTCGAATATCGATTATCAGTGAACTGCGACTGATCGCAAACACACTAGAACTTAGTAGTCTTTCCAATGTAATCAATTAACAACAGAGAATCCATACTGAAGTTTTGGTATCTAACAGCAGGAAAGTGATTGTAACTATTTCTGACAACAGAAGTAAAAGAAATAATCTAGAGAAAGTGGTACCACTAAAAATGAATTAATTTTCGCGAATATGATCAAAGAAGATCTTATACCTTATATCACTGTCACTCATACAGCCTCATTCAATAAGTTTACTTTAGCACAGCTTAGAACAGCAGTAATTAAATAAATGTAACACTATTCCCTTGAGTTAACCACAGGCGGAAGGGTAAAGTAACAGTAAACTCTCGATGAATTCTGAAAAGTACCTACACTTAGTCGGTGTACCTAACAAGATCAGTTTAAGAAATATGATCCGTTTTTCACTCAACAAAAAGTCTAGCAGCATTGAATGGAGGTAGTGCTATATGGTGAACTGACAGAAGTAGGAAATGTGGACCTTTGGATTCCGACCCAGTGACTAAATGGTAATGTGCTGACCACGGAACCTAAAGGTCCTGGGTCTAAGCCCTTGTAAGGCCATGGGTGCGCACTGCTGAGGAGTTCCATACTGGGAGGTAACATCTGTCCAGTGCTTCCAGGTTTCCAATGTTCCTCCAACTGATATCAGTCCATGATGAATTCCAATCTTTTAATATTCGTTTACTACTATGCGAATTAAATAACTTAGTATTTTTACGATCCTAATTCTTGATACCTCAAATTATTGCAGCAAGATTTCAGTACATCTAACTTCAAAATATTGCAGAAAAAAAAATGTATGAATGCGAGCGAAATATATCTGTTAAAAAAAGTGTTGTTAACAGTAAAGTTTATAAAAACTCGTTATCTTATTTTGCACACTGTTTCAATTGATAATTGTCTGTTGTATCTTCCCATGTGAGATCATATGTTTGATAGATAAATAATTACATTTTTGATAGTAAGTAACTTAAGTGAAGTAGGTATTTAGAACGTATTTGAAATCAATAACTCAAATAGACCAGATCAGAGGTCCGAGTCCGACTGCAAGGCAGGGCCTGTTTCTATTTCAATAATCACAGACTTCTTACAAAACGACCGTAGGAGTTTGTTTACACATGAAAGTGTACACTAGCAACAATGTCCACTGGGTTTGAATATGGTCATCCGGTTAAAGGGAGTGAATTTATACGCCACCCTAGCAACGATCGAAACAACCAATTAGCTTTCTTCATTTTGGTTGGAAAGTCAATTTTCATAAATTATAAAAGTCCGATTGGTTATTTCTTTTATTGCTAGAGTGGCCCTTTAAAGTCACTCGTTAAAGGTGTTGAAGCAAGAGGAAACGTATTGTGAACTTTCTAAATTTAGACAGCACAGTTGAAAATTAAAACAAACATTTGTGTCGCTAACCTACATAAATTAAAATGCACACAAACCAAAATTTGGAAGTAGCCTATGTTTCACACATAGTCCAGTTTGGGCCGTGATTTTTATTTCGAATCACTAGGTAAACAAGGTGTAATAAAAACAAAAGGTAATCCGAATATATTTAATGGTAAGTCAAAAGTTGTTGAAGTTCATTTACCGTAAAACTAACCGTTACTTAAACAGTATCGACTGTTTGGAGAGCGACTTTGAAGGCTACCTTAGCAACTACCGAAAATAACAGTTATTTTGTTCGATTAAAAAAACTACGTTTCCAAATAAATTAGAAACCAAATTAGTTATTCCACTCGTTGCTGATTCATAGAGTTATTCACTTTGAGCATTTTCATACTGTTAGAGGCTCCTGCTCCAACTGCTTTCAAACATCTGACTATTTGAAACCAAACTCATCCACCTCTTTGTCCAAATTGCGATCAGTAGGTGAGTCAGAAGAGATAAGGCGATGACGACGCTTGGGACTGTACTGCTTATTTTTTATTGTACCACTCAGCATACGGAGAAGAGGCGACTGAAATCCAGTCAAGAAGTGTGCTATGTGACTTGAGACGCTATACCCAAATATGCACAACATGGAAACTAACCAAGGAGACCTCCGCCGATACTCTGAGGGAGATGTACACAGATATTTACTGTTTGTTGCACAAATTAATTGTGCTACGTCGTTTTAAACTTTGCAACGGAAAATGTCAGCGCATATGACGACTATACACGTCAGAAAGTTCCTCATGTCATTCATAAACAACAGGTCTAGAGGCAAAAAAGAATCAGTAAGTATATACAATGCTATTCAGGACTTAGGATAGTTACCAAGACTAAATCAATATTGAAATCTCACACAAGATGCGTTCAGTATACACAGCATAATTGAAGTATCTTAATAGCAATAACAAAGACTAATTGCTCAGAAGTAGTAAAGCACAGAATAATAGATCCACCGTAAAAAATGGTGAGTCAGGCATAAGCAGAGTAAGAAACACTACTATTGTAATTTGAGTGTCTAAGATTTCACATTTTTGCTCCATTTTCTGACACGCTGCTGCTGCAGGTTACATGAAATGACAAAACAGTAATGGTTAAACTTTTCTGAGGTGCTATCCTAAACAATCATAGTTTTTTTCCGTGAATATATAGATATATACCATACATGTGAACATGTATCACAGTTGATATCCTCAAGATTGCAAGAAGAATCATGGCTCACGTGTTTCCGTAACCACTCGAAATGATGGTGTGACTTTCCCAAGTACATAGATAGACAAAATAAAAGCGAAATCTCCCAAGCAAGTGCATCGGTGCAACTGACCACACTACACAGTAGCAGGCAAAGAAGAAGTGGATAGAAAAAGACATCAAAATGGAAAATGGTGTATGGGAGGTAACTCAATACACTTAAGCTTCAAAAGACGTCATTGAGTCAATATATCCATACCATTGTGAGTAATTTTCAGCCATTTCATCAAGAGTCCTGAGTCACTGGTTCCTATTGTCTTGGCGACCCCAGCCAGGTAATCTATACCTCCCTAAGTGCTCAGATCAACAGTCAGGAGCTTCATGCACTGTTACCAAGAATTGGTCTGGCTACCCTGATCCCTCTTTCAACTTAGCATTGTACGTCAAAGTAGACAGTAACTTGACATACACAACAACTGTCCAGGTGGCTGAAGGTCCACAGCTTCATCAACGGCCTTTTTTTCTTGCCTAGTACACTTCTCTTAACCCTCATAATGCTCACATGATGACCTCACTATGCACGAGTAGTGCTGTGAAGACATTTGTAATCAAAGACCTGTATCCTCTTCTTATCTTCTATTTTCAATGGCCATTTCTATCAGCCTTGTAATAGAACATAGAGAGTTGTAGAGTCACCGTACAGCAGACAGCTGTCATATCTTAACGGCATCAGAGATGATACAAGTTGGCATATGTCACACTGGTCTAGTGTATCTGGGCTGATATTTCGTCATCCACCACCTGGTGCAACCTACCACGTAAGTGAAGTGGTGAGCGCATTCGACCAATTTAAAACCTATCCTTAAACTGGAAGCAGCTGTGTAACAGTATTGGATCATCATCTTATATTCGAAAGGAGTGAAATGCACACCAAACATACTCAGATTTCTGCTCAACGCAGTCACGAGACTCTGCATTCTGCCAGCTTATTTACCTAGTGGGACAATGTCATCTGAGTACTCCAAGTCAACCAGATGACTTACAGGGAGTAGATCAATCCATGTGAAGTCATAAATACCTGATGTTATATCCATTAGTACATCTATAACAGAAGTAAACAGTAACAGTGACAGTAGGCATCTCTGATAGACACCACTAGTTGTCATTAATTCTTATGATAACTCTCTATAAGCCATAACACAGATGCTTTAGTTTGAGTTTTGCATAATTGTAGGAAATATCTATTAGGAGCAGAACCTATTGAAAAAACTCTCACAAAAGTTAGACAACGTCTACTTATGCGTGATGAAATCAATGAACTGAAAACGACATTGTGCTCAAAAAATTGAGCAGAGTGATTTATTCAATGATATGAAAAATCTCTATCGACTGAAATAATGACAAAGCGATTTAAACAGGTTTCAAATGAAGACATAGAATTAGTCTTCAACTATACTCACTGATAAATCGAACTGCATGTGTACTCGAATTAAAGAGAGTTCATTAAAAACTAGTGATGAAGTGAAAATACGAATGACCGAGAACCTCGTTAAGAATGTCCAAACAACAAAGTTTTGAATTAAGAATTTGAGTTCAAAGTTTAGAAGTCATGGAATGAAGCAAGGTGTTAACTACTTGGATAGTGTCTTTGAAATGAAAGAGATTGATGTTTATCAACACAAGATGACGCTTTCGAAAGATGATTACAATCTTCAATTCCTTTTCAGAATACCTTACATCTTATTGGTCTTTTTTCACCTATTCTCTATCATATCTTTCTACTTTATTTAAATTTCTTTCAACTTCTGTGGATTTTCTTTCCTGTACAATTGTGAAGTGCGGCTAACTGAAACGTCCAACATCTGTGCTGAGATCTACTGTATTGAAAAAAGAATCTGTGCATACAGTCTAGCAAACAATGTAACTTTCCCAAGTAATATATAGTTGAACAAGGTTCATAGAGCATGTACATCATCAGTCTAATAAAACTAAGTAGGTCTATAATGTAAAGTTATAGCTTTTATAACGAAAAATACTGATCAAATAAACTATAGTAGATTTTATCAACACAGAAGCACAAATAATAACTGCACAAAATTTCAGTACCCAAAACACCTTGTGCTGTAATCTCATCTCTAAATTTCATTAAATGTTTTTTCTTGCTACCAACAATACATATTTGTCGGTCAGTGACATTGTAGGTTCCTATGCAAATCATTTAGGAATAGGAAGAGGTAAAAGGAAAGCAAGAGCTTTAAATACCGACTTACTCATTGGAATTTACAGATGATTTTTCGGATTGACTACCGACAATATTATTAACAGAACTTTGACTTGTAGAATGCAAATTTCTCGATAGGGAATTTTCAGCAGGTAAACGACGTCTAGTCGAGGGCACTACCAGTGCACCACTATTTGTAGTACTAGTTTTCAGTTTAGATGAATTTTCATCCTGTTTCGAGGATAAATTAGTGCGGGCATTGTTAGACGTTGGAGGAGGCCATGTTGAATGACTTGGAGGGTGTTCAGTTGAATCTAATTTAGAGTCTTAAAAAACACAACAGAAAGAAAGTTATATAACAATTAAGATATCTACTGATAGCGTCAAAATTATCAAAAGCATTAGACAAGAAAACGCATCTTCAGGTAAGAAAAAAACACTTAGTATACTCAGGATACTTTGCTCTTTCTATAATAACTTCAAAATGCTGCTACCCAGTCAAGAGAAAAGAATAAGGTTAAGACATCCGGTCAAACCGCTATTTTGTGTCCCAAGGTTATCACACGTTCATTTTCCTATTTTTCATGCTTGTATATATTACGTAACTTTCCTTTGTCATGCACATTATTTTGAAATTTGACCAGAAATTACTCCGAAATGTTCTGTTCTTTGTCGTATATATTTACGAATGTACAGCTAAGACAAAGACTTCATGAACGAAATGCACTCAGCCAACGTGTGCAGTAGGCAGTGATCCACATCTATTGTGTGACGGTTACTGATACTATCTGGCTGCCCAAACCTAGGTAGATGGAACAGAGCTGGAACTCATGACGCTATGATTATTAGTCATCTCCTTAAACCACTGAGCCACAGCCCCATGAATAAGTGCATGGAAAAGAAAATCCTCTCTTCACTACAATGTCTTCTTTCTTCTCTTAAAATCCATTAGTAACAAAAAAACAAAACAGAAATTGGCTAAACTTAATGTTGATTTAGATAAATGTTAGGAGCTTTAAATGCTTCTTTATTCATTTCACCTTTGAACTCCTATTTCTACCGATTTCATTGATTTCCAGCATATAATTTGGATCAATTTGTGCAATATACTTTATCCACCTTAATATCCTATTCTCTTATAGCCGAAAATTTTAAGAGACAGTTAACTATCGAGCAATTTCATAGACACTCACACGTAAATAATTAGACTAACTACATGATTGCAGCCACCACCATCAGAATACATGTAAGTATAACTTACAATAAAAAAAATTGCATTCGAAAAGGCATAACAACAAGGGAGTATTTTAGTTACAAACACGTACCGCTTCGAGTCATACGTATTAATTACATTTAAAACTATGGCTAATCTAACACGATTACAAAATAGTCGAAAAGTGTAAGACTGACAGTACACTGAGTATCATTTCGGAGGAAATGGACTACCACTTAAATTTCTAATATGAAATCCACCAACTATTAGAAGTGTGAGAAAAAACCCTTATGACAGCATGTTTAAACAACTATAAACTTTATGCAATTGATTCCTAAATGAAACTATCTCTAATGGAAACTGAAAACTTTCATTTATGATGAATGTGAGAGAAGAAAGTTAAATGTTAGTTAAGTATTCAATGTTAAACTTTCATGCATAACATCTGGTGTTAAATCACTTGCCAAATCATATTTTATGCACAGTCACATATTACTACATCATCATTAGAAGTTGACTGTATCACAAACTTCTTAACTTTTTGAATAAAGTATTAGCAAGACATTATCTCATAATTTCGCGACAATTCCAACAATAACTAACAGTTAATCACAACATTATCAAAAATAATGATGATACCAAAAATAAAATATTCGTTATCAGGATTTGCACCGACGACCTTCCTGATTGTGGTCCACTGCATCATGCAACTAACTGTGAGCAGCAAGAGGATGGGCATTCACCGTACGATCGATGAAAAGAGACTAGAAGATTTCGATTTCACCAACGATGATGATTTATGTCTATTGTCGCACAAACTCGAACATCTACAGGCGAAAACTAACAAGTTGACAGAAGAGTTACGGCAGAGAAAACGACACTTCAAGTGAACGTACAAAAGACCGGGTCGATGATGATACACAACCAACAACAACAACAACAACAACAGCATAGACAACAAGCAACAATCACCATCAACGGGAGAAACCTAAACGAAGTAGTCTCTTTCACCTACCCAACCAGGAAAGGCAGCATCGCTTCAACTACACACGGCAAACACGAGGATGTTGAAACCACAATCAGAAAAGCAAGACAAGCTTCCATCAATCTGAAACCAGTGTGCAGATCTATTCCACTCAGCATAAAGCGTGAACAACATCCGGATTTTAAACACTAATTCAGTCAACTCAGTGCCTCTATGTGATGGTTGAGAGACTTGGCGGCGCGTTACGAAAAGCATTTACAACAAACTACAGACATTCATCAACAGCTGCCGCCTATGCTGGCTCGATACTGAAGATCAGATCAAAAGGCCAGAAACAATAAGCAACAAGGAACTCTGGCTGGCTGGCTGGCCGGCAACGAACCAACCAAGAACCTATCGCTCAACAAATATGCAGTAGAAGGAAGTGGAGATGGGTGGGATTGGGCATACTCTGAGAAGACCGTTCGAAGACATCACGCGTCAGGCCAGGCACTCGAGTGGAACCTAGATGGGAAACGATAAGTTGGGCGTCCGAGGTGAGGATGACATGGAGGAGATCATGCAAGGAAGAAATGAGAGCTAGTGGGCAGTCGTGGAGCCAGGTTCAAAATACTACAGAGAACAGAGGGGAATGGATGCGTGCTACTGAAGCCCTATGATCCACTAGGAACCCGAGAGACAAATAAGGATTAATAATTCGCAGTTATATGAAGTAAGTGGAAATATTAATAATCAATCATTAACCCAGGTGAAGTAGTCCCAGTTGAAGTTCAATCCAAAGTTACTTAAAGGTAAAAGAAGCACTCTGAATCAATCATACGTAAGTTCTGAAAATAATAGATATTATACATTTACTTCCCATGACAAATTTGAACAATGCAACAACAAAAACATTTGCAGAATAACATGAGTTCATTTTATTTCACGACCTTTCATGAGCTGTAAACAGCCTACAATTAAAATGAAGTATTAGTAGTAATAATGATATAACATACCTTGAATAATGTAGAAATAAATGAAGATTTGACGTCCAGGATTAACAATAAGGTAGTGAGTCAAGGAAACACAGGATTAGAAATCACAAATCTTAGTCAACAAGGAACGTCATGTTTATTACGGTTTGCAGAAGCTCTCGCCATAGAACATTTTCAACCTAACTCATATACTCAGAACGAGACTGTAGTTAACATTTCCTTACCTTGTTAAATGTATATGACGTTTTGCATATGTATGTATATGGTCTTCCTTTTTTGATCGAATCATCTCTTCATTAATTACTCAATTACTCTTAACCGCATAACGGTTCCCCAGTTTCTTTATGTAATTACGAAACCAAATGGCTCTTTAACAACTCTTTGTTTGCTGTTCCTTCCTCCCTACAGTTCCTGAATTCTCTATCTCATCGCACATAAATTGACAGTGATTTTGGCTACGATTTGTGAAATCCAATCCTGTGTTTTCTCAACTCACTACCTTATTGTTAATCCTGGACTTCAAATCTCCATTTATTTCTACATATTTTAAGAATGTCATATTATTATTACCATTAATACTTTATTTCAATTGTAGGCTGTTTACAGCTGATGAAAGGCCGCGAAACAAAATAAGCTCATTTTGTTCTGCAAATGTCTTTGTTCTTGCTCTTTGTCTGCATTGAACTACTTGACTTCATATAATGAGTCGCTATTATTATTTCACAGAATGATATGGGTTTATTTTGTTTCGGGGGTTTCTCATCAGCTGCTGACAACCTAAGACAAGTTTAGTATCAAATTATACAAAATGTTTGGATACATGAACCAATTCGATAAATAATTATAACCTTGAACAAAAGAAAATATCGATAAGATGTACCTGAAGGCGTACGAATTCAGTGAGTAGATATACAAGAAATAACGGTAAGTTTATCTATACATAGGCATATTGATAAAGGGTACTTGAAACATATGTGAAAAAAGGGTTTAAAATTTACGTTAGTTAGGAAAATAGGATCAATAGAACTCAGGGAATAAGGTCAAGGGAGTGGAATGGAATCACAATAAAGGTGTACTCATCAACAAAATAAAAATATTTCCCCCAGTAAATACAGATTAATAGGTGTCTCAGTCTGAAAGCCCACTCTTCCACAAACTCACTTGTTCTTTAACAGGGCAGTTTAGATCGGTTGGTGAGAAGCTGGTAATCCATGGTTCAGAAGGGAGCTTTAATTTCGATAGAAAACTTGAAGGCTTAAACATTTCTGATAAATTCATGATGTCTTTTAGTGTATCGTCGCTGTTTACAAAGAAACCCTTTGAAGGAAGTATAGAAGATCATAACTTTCAACCAATAGTTTATGACATGTAGTTAGTTAATCGAAGCCAGGAATGATACAAATATTGTATCGGATTAACAGTTAATGCCTACTACCATATTTGTCGCAATTTCGCTTCTGAGTAGGAGGTGACTTTTGACATGTAACATGCATACACCCATTTCAGTCAAAACAGTATCAAACCCTCATTGACTAACTTGATTTCTCTGCCTAAATTTGAACTCCCAAAAAACCTACATCGATCATTTGACGAGTCAATAACGTATAAGCAGTACTCTGAAAAAAGCATAAATGAAAACTAGTAGTATGTTCATAGTGTTGACTTCTAACAGTTGTTTCCGAAACACAAAAATGAAAAGCTGTATTGTTTTACTGTATACTCGATGGTCGATGAGTATTTGGAATACGTTGTTAAACTAGACATCAACGCAAACCAACCGTGAACTACCATTCTATAATGAACATGTGCTAAAACCCAAGAAAGTAATACCCTACTTTAAAATGCTTTCATAGCTAGCCTAACAACAAAAATGAAGTTGTTTACGTTATAACTACCGATAAAATTGCACTAATAACACAAACGATACTTGATGTAAAAACGTCAATTTCACTTACAGGGTTTGTCGTTGTCAAGATTCAAAGGAGAATGAGTTGCTTCGGCAATAATTTGATTCTGATTAACTTCTAACTTTTGGATACTGGATGGGGAATTATTTGGCGTCTGTTTAAGCTTTTTTTATAAAAAGTAGTCGAAAAATTAGTAAAATGACAAGAAACAGGGAAAAATTTGGTATTTCTTGAGAGTTTAGACTACATTAAGAAATAGTATTTTTCGACTGTTAATGACGTGAGAAAAAAATAGTGTTTATCATAGCACCTGAAGAATCAACATACAGTTGGACGCTATTACTCTGCATACACTAAAAACTGACAAGCCAAAACTTGTTAGACAACTGAGTTAGAATGTAATGATCTCCAAACGATAGCTGCTATCTTGCTTTGGTGGTCAGACCTGTTTATAACAATGACACAGGGAGCTATACTATCGGATAAATTACCCTGTGAGGTCTTATCATATCAGAAAGGTCAGCTGGGTAGTGGTAGGGTTGAATGCGATATCGGCATGGTGTCGATAACTTACATTTTAGTACGGCTGAAGTGATTCTGTTGGTTGTATGAAGTTTGATGGCAGTAAAGTGTTTCTTACGGATAACCAGGATTTCAGGCAAATGCTGTCTTCCCTTATCCGAAGGAGTTAGAAAAGGTCAGCACTTAGAATAGTGTAATCATTCCTTCTCTTTTGGTAGAATGGTCTTGTCATAAGAATTCAGCACAAACAAAGATCTTAAAGTTCTGAAACAGAAAGTGTGTGACCGACCTAAAACATACATCCCTTGGACTCTGTGGTAACGCACCGCTGTTATTAATCCAATTTCTCTCTCTGATAGTCCAAGAGGAGATCAGCTCTCATGGTATGAGCAGTAGCAAATCACCCAGTACACCAAAGCTTGCAGCAGCAAACAAAACCCACATAACTATAACCTACCTTTTTTACGTTTATCTCCAGCCTTGCCTTTATTATTTCCAGTGGTTAGTATCTTACGGGTCAAGACAAAGCATGAAATACCATGACCACGATTTACAGTTACCTTTTGGATTTTTCTACACTATCGAATTCAGCAGTTGTATGGCAAAAGAGCTTCTCAATAAATCAGTCTCCAAGCGAACTATTAATGGACAAATCAGAGTTACATATGAATAGTCTACGGAGGAAGACATAAATGTGACGAACTGAACAGATGCTCTTTTGAGCAATATTTTACGGTGATCTGTCTGTCTATGTAAATAAATTTTACTCGCAAACTGGTGTCAACTAAGGAGTATCGGGAGATGAAGAGTTTTATTTAGAAAATAATGGTTAAAATGTGCTCTAGAAATTTCAAAGATGTGACCAATGACATCAATGTTTCGTGACAAGTACACCAAAAAATAGTCAATATATAAACCACAAATTTTAATAATCTCTGAAGGGCACAGAAAGAAGAAAAAGATCGATCTCAAGGAAGAGCTATATATATATATATATATATATATATATATACGGAAAGAGAATTCTACTGCATCCAAGATTGAGAACATTTACATTTTAAAAGCAATCAACCAGAACGCGAAATGTCCTGAAGAATATGGGTCATGATGTGATAAGAGGTGCATAAACATCAAGTTCAAATTTATAAAGATTGAGAGAGCCAAATGAGTCGTATATTAGGGCTTCCCCCTAACTGTAAAGACACGGCAAGTTTTCGTTCTTCAAATTAGACAAATAAATAGCAGCTAAGCCAACATATGGGGATCAAACTGCAACGCTACGCATCATCACAGAACAGAGTATAGAATGGCAGTCAACCCTCTACCTCAACTTTATCGACTTTCAAAAGGCCTTCGACAGCGTCCACTGACAAGTAATTTGGCAGTTGCTTCAACACTACAGAGTGCCACTAGTCTTTATCAAACTCATTCAACACCTACATGAAAACGCCACACGCCATGTCATCCACAATGGAAAATTCAGCAACACCTTCGAAGTGAAAACAGGCAGCAGTAAGACAAGGCTGCCACCTACTATCACCCATGATCTTCCTCATTGTGGTCCACTGCATCATGCAACTAACTGTGAGCAGCAAGAGGATGGGCATTCACCGTACGATCGATGAAAAGAGACTAGAAGATTTCGATTTCACCAACGATGATGATTTATGTCTATTGTCGCACAAACTCGAACATCTACAGGCGAAAACTAACAAGTTGACAGAAGAGTTACGGCAGAGAAAACGACACTTCAAGTGAACGTACAAAAGACCGGGTCGATGATGATACACAACCAACAACAACAACAACAACAACAGCATAGACAACAAGCAACAATCACCATCAACGGGAGAAACCTAAACGAAGTAGTCTCTTTCACCTACCCAACCAGGAAAGGCAGCATCGCTTCAACTACACACGGCAAACACGAGGATGTTGAAACCACAATCAGAAAAGCAAGACAAGCTTCCATCAATCTGAAACCAGTGTGCAGATCTATTCCACTCAGCATAAAGCGTGAACAACATCCGGATTTTAAACACTAATTCAGTCAACTCAGTGCCTCTATGTGATGGTTGAGAGACTTGGCGGCGCGTTACGAAAAGCATTTACAACAAACTACAGACATTCATCAACAGCTGCCGCCTATGCTGGCTCGATACTGAAGATCAGATCAAAAGGCCAGAAACAATAAGCAACAAGGAACTCTGGCTGGCTGGCTGGCCGGCAACGAACCAACCAAGAACCTATCGCTCAACAAATATGCAGTAGAAGGAAGTGGAGATGGGTGGGATTGGGCATACTCTGAGAAGACCGTTCGAAGACATCACGCGTCAGGCCAGGCACTCGAGTGGAACCTAGATGGGAAACGATAAGTTGGGCGTCCGAGGTGAGGATGACATGGAGGAGATCATGCAAGGAAGAAATGAGAGCTAGTGGGCAGTCGTGGAGCCAGGTTCAAAATACTACAGAGAACAGAGGGGAATGGATGCGTGCTACTGAAGCCCTATGATCCACTAGGAACCTAAGGGAATAATAATAATAAGGACAACATATGATTACTGTTAGTTACTTTAAAAGATGCACAACCCTAACTCGATTTGATAAACCTAGCTAATTTAGATGCTAATACAAGGGTTGCTTTGTTCTACTGCCTATTATATTCTGAATGTTTTCTTTTTTACTGCCTCTTCAGGTCAGTTAATATTAATAAGATTAATGCTACGTAAAAAGAAAAGAGAACGGCGAAAAAATGGCATTGTAACATACAACCTGTTTCGATCAGGAAAAAGATACAGCACACTATTATACTCAAAACGAAATAACAGTAAGTGGTAGGTGGATGAATGAATAGAAACTTACAAGTATTGAACTGTCACGTAACTTTTGCAGTTTCTTGGATTTCTTTTGTAGTATTCGTTGCCGAAAACTATGTGAGACACACGCCTAATAATTAACCAAAAGGAATTAACAAAACTATATATATATATATATATATATATATATATATATATATATATATATATATATATATATATATATATAATACTTCTGCTGCAGAAAAAATATCATTTCACATTATTTAGATAACAATACTCTGAAAAGAGAACATAATTTTATCCAAAGGGTGGTTTCCGGTTATCAAAATTGTTCCCAGTCTGTACTTACCTTTTTATTCTAGAGAGAGGTAGGTTGTATTGTTCACATAACTCATAGTTAGCTTGACAATATCCAACTGTGTTTACTGGAAATAAGTGTAGGGACAATAAAATAGGAAGCCTTGACAACAAGTGAGGAACTGAGGCTATGGTAGTCTTTCCTGCTATCAGTGAATGTATTTAATGGGGAGTGACTACCGCTTCCGTAAGATTTATCCTTAGTTTGTAATAAGTGAAATGTTACAGCACATTACATAGGTCACTTATAGAGACATACAAACATTGCACTCCCGACCGATAGCTTCTACCCTGAAGTGGTGGTCGGGCTGGCATATCACAATGACCTAACGAGCTATGCTGATGGAACGCCTGTCCCCTTGAGGCCCTACCATACCAAAAAGGTCAGTTGGATAGTGGTGAAACAAAAGCAGTTGCTGTTACAGTGTAGAATACTATGCTATACTTCGGGTCCCAAGGGGAAGTTATACTTCAGGCTGGACTGAGGTGTGGTACCAGTAAGCCGTTTTCCGTGGGTGACCAACAGCACCATGCTGATACTGCCTTCCCTATGGAGAAAGGGGTTAAAAAGTTTACTCTACGCCATACCGTTGCCCGTGAAATGGGTTCATAGTTGGAATCGGAAGAAAGTCAAACTTCTAGAGAGATCGTGTGACTAGTCTCAAGTAGATATACCTTGGGGTCTGTGGTCACATACTACTATAAGTAACCCTTATTTTTCAGGTATTTCAAGAATAAATAACCTTCTACTACATAAGTAGTCAGGAAGTGTCAACCCCCATCACAACTCCATCAGCACTGAAGTCGCATCACCTTAACCTTAAAGTCATTTTTAATGTCTGTCAGTCAATAATCCCATACCATTCTTAATTTCTTCCATCTCGCAGCTCTTGACAATGAACTCAGTTAATGGAGCAGAATCCCTGGTCTTCTGAAACTTAATTGCAAACAACATACTTTAGCTTTACATCTCCGTGTTCCTGTCAAAGCGGACAAGTATCGTTAGCAAAAACTCCAGCACATCAGGTGATGGACGAAGCAAACAAGACCCAAGTGAGGTTATTAACATAACCTCAGTTGGTTAATAAGGTGAATCTGTAAAATTATATCTTTGACTTTCTGAAGATTCGATGGCCAGTTCACATACTCTTCCATGTGCGTATATAGCATTAGGTCCTAAGACAGACTTGTCGACTGAATCTCATTTGACAATCGCTCAGAGCTTTTCGACTAAATGGTGCAAAGAGGAGTAAAAAGAATACAGAGACTCATCATTGTCTCCTTGCGATTCCTGCTTACGCATCGAATGATAATGAACTACACAAAGTGAAATATAAGTTCTACCGAAAACTTCCCAGCCTCCTACTGAAAGCCAAACATTCAGATGTGGTTGTCGTAGCACGTGATTTGAATGCACAGGTGGGTAGGATAAGTCAGGCAGAAAGGCACTGAAATGACACTTTCGGGATCCTTATCGAACGAACATATGACAACGCTCACTAACTACAACTGTGCTCGGACAAACATATATTTTTAGGCAGCATGAACCTGAAATATAAAGAGAAACTGCTTTGCATGCGATCCATTGACCTCAGTTCAACAGTCGACACAAATAGATCCTATTGCAATCAGTTGTCAGTGGAAGGTTGTCGATCATACTTCTGGAGAACGTGTTTGGACGGCGATCACGTATCGCTTCAAGCACGGGTACGTATGGATCTGAATAGACGTATGAAGACTACAGCAACAAGACCACTAAGAACACAGCTCCAAGATGAAATTGCCACACTTGTTTCAACCGAGGAGTATGACAGTGTCAGTCATAAGGGAGAAGCCTAGAACGACCCCCAATCTAATGTAAGACCGGATCAGCTATGTAGTTACCTCTGGCGGAGTCCGTCGAAGATGTTTGCTCTCTCGATTCCTACCCAATTTTATCATAGACGCACTTATGGAGTTCTTCCTATCATCATTTAACTTCACAGGGATCGATTTGATTACAGCGGAGTCCTTAGTAAATATACATATACATGTATATGTATATGTATATATGTGTATGTATTTTTGAGTTCCATTTTTTAAAATGGCTACCGAGGATACCGCATGCTAAAGACAGACAGAGCGAAAAACTAACATGCAGACTGGCACAGAAATCCGCTGTTTCCTGTTGCCACACTTCGCAGAAGTAACTAATAAATACAATAACACACTTCAACCGGGTACATGCTAACTAGACTATGGACCACACTTGTTGCATGAGGGCTTATAATATTACCCGGCCATCCAGGCCAAAGTAATTAAGGCAGAATTCGAACATTGATCCCATTGCTTGAAAGTTAAGTTCCCAATCCAAAGAGCCATATCTCCTTTTCAAAGTAAAATAAGACGATAAAATGCTGATATCGTGGCAGATAAAAAAAATATAAGAGGAGAGAGATTTTAAAAGGAAGGTTAGTGGACATGATAAAAATTTCGAAGAAAGAACAGGTCTGTGAAAAATTGCAGTGATGTCACCAAGAGTCTCTAACAACTGATTTGCATCATCTCGAGGAACCCAACCAAGTAGTCTCTACCTCCTTGCACGGTTCAGAGCAACGGTGAGAGGCTTGATCGACTAGTACCACATACTGGTTCGACCACTCTTATCCTTCTATCCCAAACCCATTTCGACTGACATTGTACGTCAAGACAGGCGGTGGCTAGGTGAGTACAGCATATGTCCAAGCAACCCCAGCCAGTAAAGGTTCGTAACATCATCGAATGACCTCCCTTCCTTGAGTATTATTCTTCGCCTAACCCCATTATTGTTCACACGGTGACTCCAACATACGTGAACAATGCTTTGAAGACACTTATGGTCACAGACATGTAACCTCTTTTTACCTTCCACTTCCAAAGATCATATCTTACAGCCGTATATTACGACAGGACGGACTGTTGTAAAGCATACCCATCCTTTTCTAGGCCCTCAGATACCTTGTCGGTGCTAGAGACAAATGCTAAACGGGAATTTTATGTACGAGTTGAAATTTCGTCAACAAGCAATTCATTTAGAATGCTACAACTCACAAATAAGTGAGCTGACTCAACGCACTCTATTGTTTCACTCGCTATCCTTAAACTAGGATGATACATACTTTGGAACGGTGCTTCTTCCGTTAAATATCCGGCCCAATAATCATTCAATCGAAGGTCAATATCAGCTTCATCACGAGGCACAAACGCGATTGTGATCAAATTCATCAAGATTATCATTGTCAAGTCTTTGAATAGGTGTTTTCCATTAGCTGACATACTATACAACACTCAATTGGTAAGTAGGAAATAAATGATTTCACAGAAGCTATCGAAGTCAAAGTGAAGCAGTAAAACTGACTGTTTTAAACAATGACATACGTTGATAAGCCTGAGCTATAAAATAAAGCTTACTAGATTCTATATAGAACGACAGATGTACAGAACCATTTGCTTATCTAAACTAAGTAGAAAAATGAGGCAAAACACTGCTACATCGTTTGTAAACTAGGTCTAGTCCAAATATCGCACGGTGACACAGTAACAGTAAGGTTTGTTGTCGGGGTGGACTAAAAGTGAACAAACTCAAACTTCTAGCATGACGACATTCGAAGATACACATTCAATAACACATAAAACAGTACATGTACTAAACGAAAATGACTACGCATCACATCCAAGATAAACCACTATAACAAAGAATCTGTTTAACGTAAATGAAATGCCTAAGCAAAAAATCATAAAACTGATAAGTCATTCATAAAATTCCCAAGTTTATATTAAAATGGCAAAATTTGGAGATAAAAGGTTTCAGCAAGAAGTTGTACACGATGCGAAGATGATGATCTCAGGTCAAAACAGATGAGAAAATCAAAAATGTAGTAATTTTTTATTTCATTATCGAGGCTTTATGAAACGGTTATACAAAGTAGTGAAATCTGCTGTTACCTATCTTCGACTCAGTCTAAAGTTTACAAGAATAGTTATAGCACTGTTTACTCAATTTATCTAAGATGATAGGATAAAAAAGTTCCATTACAACATTGAGTAAATGAGTCTGATTAAAAGAATGGATGTGAAACCCGTTTTGACAGCGAATACCACTCGTGTTCATTAGAAGCCACCTAATAAATAACAAAGAACGAGTTGCACTTCAAAATCAATTTATTGTATTTTGTCTCAACATAGTTATTCATAAGTTGAAAAGTAACACAAGGCCCGTTAAAATAAACAGTAGTAGCTGCCATACTGCGTCAGATAAACCAAAAAATTTACTGGTCGAGTCATTAGATTTTACATCAGACAAATATCAATGGCAAGTCATACAAAGGGTCAAATATGAGAGTAACTTCCTAATTTCTCTTTGGAATTGATAACTTTATCTTCCAATGAGGTGACAGTTACAAGGAATATGAAGATGCTTTTATTGAGTCAAAACAGATAACGTTGACAATACTTCGCCTAAGTTGGAAGATATTTTTGTACTACAAAGGTTTCATCAAGAGGTGTGTATATATAGACTTCAGTTATATTTATCTTCAAGCTTATTACATAAACTATATCAGGAAGATAACAGTAAACATTTAAATGCAAAGCTTACCTCTTGAGCTCCTTTCATATCTCCATCATTTACATTTGACGAAAAATTACCAGCAGTGAAAGCACTAGCTTCATTTATACCGATACCAAGTAAAACATTGGAACCCTCAAGTTCACTATCTTTTGCTGAATGATGAACTGTATGTTCTATTTGAGAGTGTTCAGAATGCTTATAATTAGCTGGTGTTTGTCTTCCACTTGTACTCGAGATCGATTTATTTATCGAAGGTGATGATGATAATGTAGTATTCGATTTTCCACTCGTTACTAACGATTGATCGAACAGACCTAACAAAATAATGGCGATTATGAATAGTAATAGTAATAGTAATAATAATAATAATAAAGTGTATGAAGTGGAAAAACGTGATTCTAGCACAGTAAATACGAAACGTCGATGAAAACAAATTTTCCTGCAACTAAAATTGATCTCAGAAGTTTCACATGATTCTTATGTTAAATCAATATTTATCTCATTTTATACACAAAGATAACAATATTATTTATTCTTCACCCTTAAATAAAAGAAGAAAAATGTAAGTTTGTAAAATGGCTCTGTGAATGCGTTAATATCATAGGTCTTTAACTCTAAATAGTATTGAAGTTAGTTCACTTTCATGTGTTCCACTTATTGCATCACTTTTAGACCGATCTTTATTTGATAGCCTAGAAATTAATGTCAAATTAATATACATGTAGTTATAAATCTGAAAAATGTAATACAAAATTATTTGTAGTGTAATCACTTCATGTTCCTTCAATGGCTTCAAATCAGTTTCATGAAACCTGAGTTAGTAATCCACAAAAAAAGCATTTTGGGTCTAAAGAATCAAAGATGTTCGGGACTATCCAGATTTGTAATCATACTAAAGCTAATAGTAATGATGGACATAGTTCACAAATAATGGAGCAGATTTACAGTTGAGAATCCAAATAATCACTGTATAGCACTCTCTTAGGTTCAGTTTTCGATGACAGATGTTTCATCATTATTAAGTTCAGTGCACTTTAAGAAGTTTCGAGTAAAATCAGATGGAATTCAAATCACCAACCACATACACATTCGTGCTTGTGGGCAATGAAGCACACTTATTGTGTAATGGCTAACGATATTACTTGTCTGCTCAAATCATGGTAGATAAATCAGATTTTCAACTCAGAATCTTCTTTTGTAAAACAGGAAGTCTATCTCAATCTTCGATTTCATTATGATGCTAACTTCTTATGGTTTTATCAGTTTTCTAATGTTTTTATTATTATTGTCTATTAGTATAACAGAACTATCAATTTGGGGTCAAATGCACCTTAAAATTTGAACAGCTCAAATAAAAAAACGATTAAGGAATAATGTTTGGAATAAAAATATTACTAGGGTTACACAATAAAGGTTAATTTAGTTATCTAAATACTGGAGAAGGCAACAAAACAAGTACATACATGAGTTTAGATAAGATAACAAAACATAAAGAAATATCAACTACAAACTAAATTCATTTTATTTAGGTTGTAGATAAAAACCTTTAGAAGGTGATTTTGGAAAACAATAGAATTGATGGTATGTAAGAGTGGATTCTTATGATACATAAATGATCAAACGTTCAATCGTTCAACATATTAAAAAAATATGTGGAACAAATTGAACAAGTAGTCAAAACAATCTCTACACTCAATTCAGCGCATCCACATATAAATGAGTAAATTTCTGGTAATCAAACATGTGCGATTCAATACGAAAGTCAGAAACATTATTAGTGTCATGATCTAATCCTCTTTGCCACTTCTGAACATCTGATATGAAATATATTGGATTTCTGTGTCATCAATGACGAAATCGAAACAACAGGCTTCAATAAGCACTTATTGCCACTTTTTGTCTATTCATCTCTCTATCTAATATATATATATATATGAATAATTTAACCATACTGTCTCAGGGTAAGACAGACTGCGTTTTATGTCTCAGCGACTGAGTTACATAAAGAAATGTGTAAACTAAAACTTGGATACGCCCAATCTGATTTTTTAAGATTGTTAAAACACAGTGTTTAGCATATCTAATGTATACAACACGCGTGTGTACAGTGAACAGAATGCATAATGAATTTTTCTATCGAAACTTGTTGCAGTAGTAAGTGGACGCCAGTAGAACACACTTAGGGTCCATTTAGAAGTCTACATACACAACAAAAGTGATAACCCTGTGGCCTGAGTTCTTCATGAAAATAAAACGATGGGAAAACTTTGAAAATAATGCAAATAAATTATTGAAAAACCAGAAAGAAACTATTTTCTGAGTAAAAATTTTCCATTCCAGCCAATATTGGATAGAGACAGAAATAAAAACCAGTAATGAAAAAAATTCAAGTCGTAAAGTTTATATTACGGATTTAAATAACCGTATGTGGTCAAAGTGCAAAACGGTTGCAGGTTTATATTGCCAACCAAAAGATTTTAACTGTGAAATGAAATGGCAACTTATTTAATGCATTTGTAGGTACTAATCTCGATACTATGTAGGACCGGTGATATGCACTGATAATTTTCGAACCATTGTCAGTCCATGATGAAAACTGTCCTGAAATTTCAAACAAACCAAAGAAATAGAAATTATGTTGCAGACCATGAACAATATAATCCCATGAGCTAGACCAAGGGAAGGAGCGTGAGTTGAACAGATGACTAGATAGTTTTGAGTTGACTGTTTAAACTACAAGGTCATACTACTTAGTAACGAACTAGAATTATTGCTAAACTTGAAAAGTTAACAAAGGAGTGATAGAAAGTGTTAGTGAACTATAAATGATACGTCAATAGTGGAGGTTACACAGTATGAAAACTGTATACAAACTACGAATGACAACATCAAACAACCAGTTGTTAATTATTTTGGTCTTGTAATACATAATTCCGATTCATCTACAGTTTAAATAATTCATTCATATCTTTTCGAACCTCAAACGTTATAAATGCATTTTAGTAAACGCATTATACGTTACAGATTAGCGCAAACCTGAATTTTATAACTTCCATGTTAGTAAAATTGATGATTAAAAATTTGTAACAGTTGAGTTCAACAGTGTAACAATTAAACTTAACAAAAAGTGAAGCATAATAGAGAATTTAAGGTGGAGTGACAAGGCCTTCAGGGGTTAGACAAGAATATGAAGTGAATATGCCCAGGTGCTACTGGCACTGATAGTAATCTATAACATTCCAAGTCTTAAACACTGATTGTGTCATCTAACTGGAAAATAACCAACTACTCCATATGCATTCATACTATCTAGAGACATCGCTAATGAATTTATAGAACAACTCGGTTTTTTGATCTAATCATCAAAACGTAATCCTGCTTACCCACTAAAGTACATCGGACAACAGGCACCGCTATCTCTCTGAAAGCAGGGCATAAACTAGTTTAAAGATTATGAAGACATTAACGGCGACGAAAAAACTTACCTCGACCAATGATGTTGAAAGAAGTAGAGGTCGGTATAGATATATTGCTACTGTTTGTAGCTACTGTGGAAGTAGAGTCTGGTGACACTAAGTGATTTAACGAGCCTCCTGAATTGATCATACTGGATTGGATATTGTGCTGACCTGAATACATGCATCAGAAAGAAAGAAATGAGAATAAGGACCAGAAAGATACATAAGACGAAGAATATATATATATATATATATATATATATATATATATATATATATATATAATCAATGTACAATACATCTTTAATTTTCAACCAGAGCAAATTGAAGCGATTAGATAGGCACACAATGGCTACGATCTAAGTGAATATGATGATGTGGCTACGTCGGATGCGAAACTATCAAGTAAATGGACCCAACTGTATTTGAGTTTCCCAGAAAATTTTCATCATTTCGAGCCAAAAAACTCTTGTTTTAATAGGGATAACAGAATTCATCTTAAAAAACAGGTGTGAAAAAAAAAACGAAACTACTACAATGACTATTCAGAAGTGAAAATAATATGCATCCAGTACCGTTATCACGGTTGACTACCAGGTATGAGCTTCTAAATTATAAAATGAAAAGTTGCATAGGTATTTGATGTAGACAGACTGTAAAACCACTTTAGTTTCAATCCTTCTCCCATGGAATCACATTCGTTTTCAGCTCAGGCATCCTGGGGTCAGCAGTCTAGTATACTGGAATGTATTAACCTCACTGAGCGACATGTTTTTATATTCATGCATTATTACAAATAATTTAAATAAAGTCAGTTTCCTAAATTATTTCATGACTTACTTTGCTACTTGTTTATCAGGTGTGTTTTCTATGGAAAGCTAATTATATGACACGCTAGCAAGATACTTTAAAACATTAAGACACAAAAAGAATTTTGTTGGGAAAAACTACTTAGCATACACTTCAAAGCAAACTAAATAAACTGGAAAATCTATATCGCGATTACCTACCTTTCAGTGGTCTTCGTTCAATACTTTGATACGGCTGATGCATATCAGCAGGTGCAATAAGTGAAGGGCTACCAGCAGCTCGCCCTATAACTAGACCAGTATAGTCACGATTTTGCCGAAACGATGCGCCAGCATAGGGATTATATTTAGTTGAAACAATAGTTGCAGATGATGAATTCTCTACAAACTGTTGTTCCTGCGAATGTGATTGTTTTTTATCTGTCAACAACCTGTTTGTTGGTGTTTTTGGTGAACTGTCATCACCAGTATCCCCTGGTGATTTATCAGCATCATTTACTGTGTCAGCAGTTATATTTTCACGCCTAAATTAGAGAGATAAGAGACGAGCACAGATAAAAGACAATGGCAGATTACCATCGGGAAAATCATCCTTATTACTATTATAGTATAAAAGAATAATTAATCCAACAACCAATCAAATAGACACTGCGTTAGAACAATAGAAGCGTAACTAACAACTGATACAAAACAAAAACAGCTTGAAAAATAATTGTAAACTTCAAGTGACCTTCACATGAAGGTCATGGTAGTGAGCTTAGATGTAATGAGCAGATCATAAGTTAATATGCAAGAGAGTATAAACAATAATACTATACAGGCATGTTTGTAGACAAGGTGAAAATTCCTATTAAAGTACTATAATGTTAACAACGGTTTTCAAGGTTATTGCGATTAAACCGAACATATCTTTGAAGAAAACAATATATTTGGGCCAAAAAATGAATGCAGAAGGCAGAAATGATAATGTAAACTGTAATTAATCTTATAGACTTACTGATCTAAACATGTTAACACCCACACGTAAAAATGAAAATGTACTAAGAAATGAATGTAGCCGTATGCAGAAGTAAGTGAAGTAAAAAGGAAATGGGTGCCGTCAATGAAATCTAATAACTTCAAAAGTAGAATAGGACAAAGATAGACTACAAGAGAAAATGAAAACAACCGTTTGAACACGTATGTATTGCATCCTAACAAGATACTTTTCCTGCTACTAAGGTATTCACTGGCACATATGCTTTTATCTTTCTGTCTACCAAGTATGATGTAGATTTATCGTTTACTTTCAGATACATTTCGTGTAAATCTTTCATGTTTATGCTGATTCCAGTACGATTGTTAGATACCTTTCTTTTTTATTTCCTGTTCGACTGAATGTAGAAAGTGATAAGAAAACCGTCTGAACATATACAAATATATGTATTAAAAACAATGAGGATACATTTCTTTCAAATTAGTTCCTTATCGTCTCAGAGGATGAATTACCAAGAACAATTAGTTAGAAGACACTTAAATGGGACAAAAGTTTATCGAGAACAATAAACCACCACTAGATGAAGTGTGTCTATACATAATCATATATTATTGTGTATAATAAGGATTCATAAAAACATAATTGTTCTAGGTGGTCAGTCGACGATATTATTTATGTCAATTCAAAATGCGAGTTTTAGAATTTTAACTGTGATGAACTTAAGTGAATTTACCTTCACTAACAATTTCCACAATCCTATGATCTATATTCATTCGATACCTATTTGAATATTCGTAACACAAAACCGTGAAAAACCAGCCATATTCAAAGTCTGATAAAAGTGAGTCACGTAGATATTCTTAGCATGAACATACTTAGTGATGCCACCAGACTACCTACAACTTTGTCCCTAAGAGAGTAGCTACAAAGAAATTTCATATTAACAAAACATACATATTCGCATAAGTTTCAACTTGACCGAAAGAAGACAAAAGGAGTTCGACACGACAATCTAATTTGGTCGTTTCAAAATCCCCCTAAACACCATGCTTCCGACTTTTCAGGCAATCATTTGACGGTTTTCCAATAATCCTACTAAATGATAATGCTACTTTGAAGTGGAGTCTGAATATCATCACTGCTAATCTGAGGTTATCAGGAATAAGATTTGTAACTGTTAGCTCCAAGAGAATTGCTGGTGCTCAGTTTAATAATAATGAATAAAATGGTTGGTCCTATTTATGACTTCCTTTACTTAAATGGTCATACCAATCCTGACCGATGGAAAGTTTCTCAAAACCGATACACAAGATTCGTATGGCATTAAATTTAATGAGGTTCAAACGTAACAACAAGCTTTCAACAGATATGTCACTGTTTTTTTTAATGCCAAACAGCGTAGATATGCATACCTTCAGAATTGTAATGTATAGTGTTTCCCATGATACAACTAAAATGCATCAGTGTATGAATCATGTGTACAATGAATGAAAGATCGTAAACGCTTGGAAATTTTAAAAATCCTAATTGGATGTATGATAGGAGATAGTAACACGAATATGAAATTTATTTCACAAAAAGACAATTGTACTATTCGAGGCATGATGAAAGACATCACAAAATATACGTTGAAGAGACGGATAGTTGTTTATTCAAAATGCTACAAACAAATAACAGGAAATATGGTCGTATAAAAGTAGAAATCTTATTCTTACTTATAACAGACTTAAGAATAATTTAGCTCTCATTTAAAATAGATGAAAGCCATAAATAGATAAAATAAACAGATTTATTCCAAAAATGTTATAATCTACAATTTGTAGTACATACATCATTTTGTAATACGACTTCTAATCAAATTCAGCGATATACACCGTTTGTTTTGCCGAAGTGAATGCTACATACGATAAACATTTGCGCCGCTGAAGCTTAATACAATTTAATCTAACAATATGCGAATACACCTAAAGAACTACAAGAAGAATATCAACCCAAAATCAATAAATAAATCCCCACAAACCTCCAAACTGAAGCTCAGATGGCCAGAAAGAATAAGCAACAAGGAACTCTGGCTGGCTGGCAACGAACCAACCAAGAATCTGTCACTCGACAAATATGCAGATGAAGGAAGTGGAGATTGATTGGGCATGCACTGAGGAGACCATTCTGGGACATCACGCGCCAGGTACTCGAGTGGAATCCAAAGGGGAAACTACGAGTTGGGAGTCTGAGGTGAGGGTGACATAGAGGAGATGGTGTGAGGAAGAAATGAGAGCTTGTGGGCAGTCGTGGAGCCAGATTCAATGGATTGCAGAGAACAGATTGCAATGGAGACGTGCCACTGAAGCTCTATGACCCACTAGGAACCCAAGGGACAAATAATAATAATTAGTGACTTACTTCGAGATAAGATTCTAAAAGTTCTAATGGGAAGTCGTGACCAGTGGGGCTAACCAAGTCAGATGTGAAGACAGTTTCTCAACGACAGCATTGGATGGAGGTCACGCAATTCCGTGAACTGGCAGAGGTAGAAAATGTAGATCACTGAATTCAGACTCAGTGGCTCAGTAGTAACGTGCTCACCACGGAACCTGAAGGTTTTGGATTCGATCCTCAGTGGTATCATAAATGTGCATTGCTGAGGAGCCCCATCCTAGGACGAAACAGCTGTTCAGTGTTCCCAGGTTTCCAACGGTTTTCCAACTGATGTCATTCCGTGATTCATATCAACCTGAAACCAATAAATAAATCCCTACAAAACTCTCAAGTGAATCCTAAGGAGCTTAAACGCATTTTAGACAGCTGAATCGTCCAGTAGGTTTCTTATTTTTAATCTTTAGTAGTGGTTCCGTGGTCTCGTTTATTGAACCACAACAAAATAAAGTCATTAAAAAAAAGCTAAATGTCATTGAATTACATGCTACATTTTGATCTAGAAAATCGATTTTAGTCAATTTATTTGATGTTTCATACAATGAAACAGTATTGTTTACTGGAGTACGTTTCGGAAACAATTTATTGTCTATAGTCATATCGGGACAACTCCACAACAGTAAGACATAGTTCTAGTTTTCTTGCCTCCTTTGTGATATGGCTTTCTCAAATATCCAGGACAGATGCTGAGTCATTTCTGTTGCATGTATTAGATGCTTATTCGACAAACAAAGATTCAGTTATCAATCTCTCTCTCCACCCCCTTATCTTAGTTTTAAGGATTTCCACCCTGTTCCAAACCATTGTGTGCAACTGCATGCACAGCTATGGTCGAGCTTTTTTCTAAATTCCTTATTTTACTAGGATCTAACAATTTTGATCTAGCTGAGTTTTTGTGCTCGAATATCCTAATTGACCCTCATCGAGTACTTTGACGTATGTATTGCACCTTGCAAGCGATTTGGTAGACTGAATTATTTTGCCTAATTGGATCGGTATGATTTATTAACCTATAAAGTTTATTTCTAAGTGAGTTTGTAGGTTTAAATGTCACTCTAATCCCGACATTATTTGTTTATCGAATCAAACCTTAATGCATGTAACAAAAACGACTCAGCACTTGTTCCGGACAATAAATTGTATCCAAAACATAATCTAGTAAGTAATACTGTTCCCCTCTGTGATATATCTAATATATTAACTAAAATGCAATTACATTCTACAACAGTAAGTCAAGGTTTTAAGATATAGGCAGTATCATTAGAACTATCGCGAGTTATTTTTCATAGCCTAGTGAAAAAACAGTACACTGGTGTTAGGTTCTTTCAGTTTTATTGCCAGGATAAACACCATTCTGTTATTACCGTTTTTTATCTAACGCTTGACATGAGCCAGCTGATAGTGAAAATCAATGTTGTAACTAAGCCTTTTACCGGTGACATTTATTTTTCAGAGACCTATTTGACACACTATGTTACATTTATGTACTTATACTGTTTATTTCGTGTAATTTTTTCAGAGTAAATTGAATATTGCATATAACTGAAATTGAATGTCTAACTAATTTGAATACTTTGAATGCAGGGATTAAATGAACTTTATTTGTATATCTTTAACCCACGATGTCTAAAAATATGAATAACTAAACAATACACAGAGACTGCATTTCATCAAATCATTTTAGTCCTACAGGTTAATTTATCACGATGGCATGAAAAACATATTTAGCGAATATAGATCAAAGAGAAAATTTGTAGCTCACAACGAGAGAGATAATCTTTTTTGGCATTCTCCAAGCACTGAGGTTTGTCTATGGATGCTTTATCACCACGCTAGGTGAGTGCATCAGCGTTTTCTTCATTAAGAAGTAAATCATGAATATTTACGTAGAATTTCTGTCGACTTTAGGCATTACTGGCTTGTGGGTAGGGAAGCATTTTTCTGTTTTATCAAAGATTGATCTTTATAACTGTTGTGACACCCTGACATATGCTGTTAATTTGTTTGATTGACTTCTATTTGATTGAAGCACTATGATTCCAGGAATTCTCTGAAAAATTTTGAGCTTATTTATCATTGTATTTTCACGTTGTTCCAACCGGAGTTCTCGATGTGCTCATCTACATGTATCGATATCAGCGATGTTATGTCATTTAGTTTGCCTGCTAGTTGTTACTCATAGATTCTTTAGGCTATTCAACAACTGAATTGACCGATATAATAGTGTCAACAGTTTTGTAACTAATTTTGCAGATTATATTCGTCCTACCGCCTTTAGGCAGTGAGCCCTTCAACTTGCATAAGATGTTTTGTGGGGATTTGCTTGGTTTGTAGGCCATGCTGATATCAACTGGGCAATGTAGTTAGTTGACAGTTTCTGAGATATATTTGAAGCATGGAGAGGCGACTCGTTTCGTGACTTGCTGCAACTGCCCTGACCTATTTTTTGCTAGGCGTTTGTTGAAGTTGATCGGTTTGTCACTGTCTTTGAAAATTCCATAACGTTGGTTTCCATCCAACTTCCGCAGCTGATGAATACCACAATCAGTCTTCGAACGTGCGAATAGTGCGGATATACAACTTTCCTTACGAGACGTTGGGTTGCTATTATTAAAGTTTGATTTTGATCTGTGTCGCCTTCTGGTATACTTCAGTTTCAATGTTCTGTCATGTCTTCTGCTGATTAAAATATCTAGGAAACTGATTTCACTATTTTCTTCCTTTAAAAATTGAATAACTTCAAGGGTTCAGTTGAGTGCAGTATTATCTACTTGACGATGTTTCGAGCTGAAATCGTATCAATATAATCATACAGCTTTCGACATATCATATTTATAGTCCACCCACCTCAAATTCCTTGCTTTTAGCGGTAGTAAAAATTTTTTTTAGATCTCCAGCATAGGTATTGCATCATTTCCACTACATTTGTTGAGTGTTGATTCGATGAACAAAGATTCAGTAATCAGTCTCTCTTAACTTAATTATACTGAACTTAATTACAGTGGTTTCATCCCACCAAGTCTATTGCTTGGTTGTGTGTTAATGTATGCATACCAATAGCCGAATTTTTTTCTAGATTATTGATCTCATTCGGGTCTGTCATTCTATATTTAGCTGAATTCTTATGTTCGGCTATTCTAACTGACCCCGACCGGCTAGTTTGATCTATGCACTTGACCTTGCAGTCATTACATGGGATTTGATAGATTACATTATTTTGCTTACTTGTATCTACCGGATCCCTAAGTCGAAAAGTTTATTTCTGAGTGAGTTTGTAGATTTAAATGCCACCCTCATTCGAGCTTTGTTGAGAATCATATGTACATCAGAAACTTTACGTAGAATTCTCAACAAGGTTCGAATGGGAGTGGCATTTAAACCTACCAAATCACTCAGAGATTACTGAATCTTTGTTCATCGAATCAACACTCAACAAATGTAATGGAAATGACGCAATATCTATGCCGGAGATCTAAAAAAAATTTTACTACCGCTAAAAGCAAGGAATTTTAGGTGAATGGACTATAAAAATCATATGTCGAAAGCTGTGTGATTACGTCGATACGATTATGAGCAGTGATTTAAGCTCGAAACATCATCCAATAGATGATCATGTATTGCTGTGTATCATATTAAATGAACGAACCTAATATTCAATTACATTCTACCACAAGTTTTACACATATTAATTTGGTTGTTGAGATTGAAAGTGTTTTTCAATTCACTTGATTCGAGAACAACAAAAGGACAGTCAACATTACGAATTCAAACTTAGAGTTTGATTACTAGTGGCGCTGTGGCCCACTGCTTTGTGCAGTTCATTGTTAACCAGTAGGCCACGGGTTTGAACATTATGCTAGCTACCATGGTTGAAGCAGTTAGGTAGTAACATTAGCCTTCACACAATAGATGTGACTCATTGTTCACTACACAAAAGTGCAGATTCCTGAGTATGTTCAGAGTTTACGAAATGCTACGATTATTGGTATGGTAATTGATGTTAATCTCTCTATCACCGCTTCAGTGATCATTTAGCATATTGGTGAGCCCATAACAGTTTTATTGGCTTGTTTTTATATCTTACCGTCCAGCACTGATCACTGAAGTGAGTGAAGGGATGGTTTTTAAGTAGACTAGAAGTCACTAATAAGCGTGAAGTGAAATTACAAACATTTTATCTTGACATTAGACTTTCAACAAGTTTATGATGAGTTCTAATCCCGCCACGCTTGCTTATTTTTGCGTAACCAGATAGTATGATTAGTGCTGACATAACATATGTAGCATATTGTCTAGTACACAATTTCACGTGTTGTTTCTGAGTTACATACAAACTTTATACGCGAAACGGATGAAATATAAAGTTTCTGGATTACTGCTTTGAAATATAATACAATGTGTCACAATTTCTTCAAGTATACGTTTCATATATTTATATTAAGTGATTCATGTATCACTGTCACCACAAAAGAAAGTCTTTCGTACTTGAGTTCTCCTTGTAGCTAATAACACATACCTTTTGGCTGAAGATTTGCCAGGGATTAAACGCTGTAGCGGCATTGCGGGAACAACAGCTGGTGTTAATGAAGGGACAGACGGATTCGAATTCTCAACAGTAGTGTCAGTATTGGATACATTCGTGCAATTTCTATTCACTAAGTCTACACTTGATAACTTTGTGCCTTTTACAGATGATACAGGAGCTGATGAGGCAAATAGAGACTGTGCATTACTGCAGTTATCACCTTCTCTACGCTTTTCAGCTTCTTCAAATAATCGCATTGCGCGTCTGTGTGATGCGGCACTGCGTATACTTGATACCTTAAGAGGGGAAAAGAAAAGGTGATGAAAGAAAACAATATATCACAGAAATACAATATGCAAGTGGAAAAACCCTTGTACACTAAATACTACTTACAAGCAAATACTACGAGTATTGTTAAACAACAGACTGATAAGTGATAGATTTTATCAGTTTGCAATAACTATCAGACTGTAAAAAGGAGAGATTCTGGTCCAGTTTGGAACTCCTTGATAGTCCGTACGTTAGTTACCGAGGCTCTGTCGATCCATATAATACAGGTTTCAGTTAGTATAATCATACAGAATAACTGGAATACTATCATTTAGATCATAGAATATAAAGATCGCAGGTTGAATACGACATTTGATACTTAAGTACTGATGAACAACAGCAGGAACGAAGTGACTTTCGAGTATTTATGAATACTCAACAGTTTTTATCATCGGAAACTCCACCTGGAAACTGCTTTCAGATTTACCACAAACTCCAAGATGATGGTAGTTTAGCAATATCTGAGCTCTGATATTTTGTCGAGAACGTTTGATCAGCAGGCTTGGTGACATCTTCAGGGCTGATTTGTTGATAAAGCTAGTGCCGAAGATGTCACCAATCCTAGTGATGAAACATTCACGACAAAATATCAGAACTCAGAGAACACCGAACCAGCATCATCCTCATCCTGAACTACGAATTTTTTGCATCATTTCAAAATTCCAAGACCATATGTCTAAGAAATTCACACGTTACCCCATCAATTATGTTTTAAGAAATACAATATACAGAATTTCAGATAATGTTTAATACATGTACACATTTTCTCTAATAATTATAAACTATGTGCAGAGAACTATCCACATTCCAAGACCTACATCATATACACAATTACTTCAATAAGTGTATTCAAAAACTTAAAAAGTAAACGAAACGCAATGACATTAATGCAGTCAATAATAACACTATTCTGTCTTGAGCACAAACAATATTTTCATAATTGGAAGGAAGGCGAGCGTGCGCTTGAAAAAGAAATATCCAATTAACAAAAAGAATTTTTTCATGTCATAGAGTAATAATGATAACGGCATGGATAGTAAAATGTGAAATGTGATTTTACAGGTTAATTTTGAAGATAAAACAACAACTATGGTTGAAAGTCATATGAAAGAAAAGTAACACTGGTAAGTTTTGATGACTTCACCCCTATCATCATTTAGAGAAATATCTATACAAATTTGCTTTGGAAATTTCTTTTAACAAGCAAAATATGAAATAAAGTAGCCCTGTTATAGACATTTGGGAAATACGATGATGATCCCTCGAAAACCTACTAGATGACAAATATTACACACCTGTTGTATTATTTACCTTGATTACTTTTTGTTTATAATCAGAATTATGCAATCGAATAATTATTACAACAGATTTAGTGATAACCAAATTGTTATAAATTATTCTGCTGAATACGTCATGAACAGCATGAGACGTTATGAACAGCATCCTTGACGAAGTTGCAACTCAGAAGCCAGTGGTAGATGATAGTGTGTTAAAAGGACGGATAAAAGTGTATGTACATATATACGCGAGAAGAAGAGATGGAGTAAAGACAGATACAGAGAAATAATAATATTTGGAGTGAGAATTGGATGTAGTTACTGAATGAACTAAATAAAATTCAAAATAGCAATAATCATATTAGAACGAACAAACAGAAACAACCACACCCATTAACAAGAAAATGAACATACTGTCGTTGAAAAAATGTATATACACATACACACAACTTTCATTTTCACTGAGAGGTTATTATTATTATTAGTATTATTGTAAAAAGACCATACACGCAATTGTCTTATCGTCAAATCCTCTGTGTACCATGATATAACAGAGAATGAGAATAACATCAGTTAAACTACACTTTTCAAAATATCCCAAACTAAGATTGCATTTTCTGAACTACTACTACTACTGAGCTATGTACTTTATATACTGAACTTCATTTGATAACTATAAGGATTTTATTACATTTTATTCGTCAGGAAGTGATATATATACATATATGTATATTATCATTATAGCAATTGAAGTCAGTCTTCAGGTTAAGAAATACACGGATCGTAGGGCTTTAGTTAGTCTTTCCATGTTCCAAAACCTGGTGAATAATGGTCTGGTCAATATACTAATGGTTACTTCTGAAACTTGTGTGACTTATTCTAGTTTGCTGTCCCTGAGTTCCAAATAAGGATCAGATGATAATTGAACCCTCAGTCTTGGACAGCACTTGCAAAAGCATGAATCTTATTTGATTGTTACAAGATTCTTCTGCTCTGTTAAAAACTAGGAAATTCAGCAATTGGGACCGGTAATAGGGTGTCATATGTGATTCCCATATATCTGTTAATAACAGTCAGTTTGATCAATAGTTTTGAGTTACCTAGCCCAAATGTCTCTGGCACAAGCCTACAGAGGATAGCAACCAATCCTTGTTTAAAGTTGCTGACAACTTTCTTAACCTTTTCAATAATTGTAGGCCCCACGCAGATATTAACTTCAGACTACAAAAGGATATCGAGCAACCGAAAAGTAGCTGGAGGTCAGTTTTACTGTTCTTTCTACTGCTTTGCCAATTATCGCGGCTGCCGTCAATTGTGAGTGAATTGCTTACTCATCCGACACAGGTCCATATTTGATTAGTCTGGTTGACATAGCACAGAGATACAATTTTATTTACTACACAGCTGATCAACGACTTTCGTACCTTATTTTCTTAAAGAAGTCAGGATAACGTTCATCATTGACACCGTCTCTTAAATGTTCACCACCCATCATTGACCATAGGTATTTCTCCCAATTAGGTATAGACATACGGATGGTTTAACCAATATGTGATCACCATTCAGGCATGTATGCTTAGCGAGCAGCAATTGTTCAGTGAACCTCTCCTTCGGTAACTGACAGCGACATGGTCAATCTCTGTCAACCATTTAGACTGAGAATGTTAGTTGCTAGACCATAAATGTCAATACTTCAAGACGCTTAGAAAAATATGGCAATTTGAAGAAAACATTAGCAGGCGACAATCCTTCTTTCTTCGCTTAGTTGGAATTCCAAAAATGTCACCGAAGCGTTATTCTTTTATTTGGTTTCAGCTTCTTACTTGTGCCTGTTACAACAACCTCATTTGGAAATCTGGCTTTTAGGTCAGACAAATTTCGTTAGAAATCATCTTTCACTTCATCCAAACCACAGAAATTATAGAAGCAAGTCTACTATCGAGGTATAAAAATATTGTTATTCGTTATCTCAACCCACAAAAATGTTTGGGAATAATCACAAGAAATTTATATTAACGTGAAACAATTTCTATTTCATATGAACTGTGATCAAGATTTGACCAAAGAACCTCAGACCTGATTTCTGTGTCAAAAGTTGGAATTATTTCATTCTAAACACACTATGACTTACACAAGTACAAACTACATTTGATGTCAATTTTTGTTTCATGCTAAATCACCTGCTTTTCCATCCACTCAATTCTCAAAACATAGCGGATATATTGTTCAAATAATAAAACTACCGGTGAAAATTTGGGGCTCAAAATCTATTGCAGGAAGGATTATGTTTGGAATTACATCAGAGCTGATGAGAATACAAGAAAGAAAGAATATGCGCAATGTATACATGGTGCGAATAAAAGAACAATATTAGTAAGAATAAAACAGAACTCTGACGGGAGAAACTTTCAGAATTCAAAAAGTTAGACTGCTGACAAGTGACAGAAATAGAGGTTACTTTTACAATCAATCATGATGTTTGTAGGACAAATAGGCATAGGTAGAATGTACTATACGTGCATACAAGAAAAAATTGAAAAATAAATACATTACTTCGTTGGGTTCGCTATGACCAGTATATGCGACCTAGCAGTCTACGAGCTATACGAACCTAACGCGCGGAAAATTTACCCTAATAGCTAATCAGGACATCAACCACAACCTCAACAATACCGCCAGCCTGAGAAGACAAGAGAAGATGGAAAATTGACAGAGAGCTTTTACTGTCTCAACAATAGTTAAAAATGGTTGAGAGCGATACTGAATACATATACACTCTAGACGACCTTGACAAACACTGAATTCACTGATAGGTTACAAGAGTTAACAATCAATGAGAGCTCAACCTTCAAAAGCAGTGAGAAAAACAAAAGCTAGGAAAAACGTTAATAATAAAGGTATTTAAGGGTTGTAAGCAAATCTCAAGCAACAGTTAGGTAAAATTAGGGGTACATAACAGTTTTCTATCCTATAAGAATACAAAGTCAATGAATTGTATAGTTTCAATTAGCAGTTTCTAAAAATATTAACATGCAAAGTTACTTTCTAATGTGCTGCATAAGTTACGTAAGATGACTTTTTTTCACAGCTAACGTGTGATATCCTTAAATTTATCAAGAAAAAAATTACCCGATATAAACGATTCTTCAAATTTGATTAATTTTGACTGAAACCTGGTAAAGTTTGGTTTTGAGCATGACAGTGCGAGTTTGAGAAAACCACAAAGGTAGAACCAGCACCACTAATTCTCTTGCTGATGCTAGCAGTGATGGAATTCAACATACGGCATTCCTTACTTTCAAATGCTCGAAGCGGCGATGAGATTTCTTTTCAATAACAACTGTCAAATACTGGTTTCCATCTCCATAATGATCGGTTAAAGACAGGAAAAGTTAAGTTACCATTACACCTCAAGTTTGACTTTATCAGCATGAAAATCAAATATTCACAATTTGAATTTCGAAAGAATGAATTTTCAAACTATCAGGTCACAAAATAGAAGCATAATACTTCCTGATTTTCAAAATATCCTCTACAGACATCAAGCTGTAACGATTTCTACCCTCATGACTAAAACACACATACCTTTAGATCGCAGAAAGCTGATCAATGAATTTTTTGTCACTAAATAACATCTTTCTTTCAGATGAGAACCTACAGCGGTCATAAATTTCGACCATTTTACTTATTGACGAGTAGTATGCAATGCAACTCTAATGATGAAGTCTAGCTACATACACACCAAAAAAATAAGTGAAAAAAAAAGAGATTCAGTAAAGACAACTCAGACGAGAAATGAGATGTATGTAAACGTACATAATTAAGTTGGTATGATCTAACTGAATAGACTTGAAGCTGGAACAAGTAAAAATAATCATAGAAAGACAATTTTAAAATTTTCGATAACTTGGTTTGTTACACAACCTGTTACATGTACTGATAGTGAAGTTGGCAGATGAAAGTGCTTTAAGTTAATATAGATGTGAACCAACAATTGAAGAGAAGAATATCACCTCTCTTTTCTTGCAACTGAACTATCGGATCAAAATGAATCAAACTTATAAGCAAATAGTATAATGAAGGCGAGAGCAGAAAATACGAGTGTTTTTAAATAACTATAAAAACAAAAAAAACATCAATATGCAACATTTGAACAGTGCAAAAACAAAGACATTTGCAGAATAATATAAGCTCATTCTATTTGACTGCCTTTCATCAGCCACGAACAACCTACGTCCGTTGAGAAGAAACCTGTTTTTCGTCATCTAACATTCATAGGTCACGAGATATCTGGAAGAATAGATAGAGTAAAACCTATAGTGAGAAAGAATTTCCTTGATGACAAACAGATCTCAGTTTACAATACAGTATGCTCAACGACATAGTCGAAAGTAGACAACTACCCATCTCACATCACCTCCAACTATCTATATCGACTCCCTCGGGCTTGTAGAAGCAGATACATAGGAAAGACTGAAAGAAGGGGGTCTACTCGATTCTATATGCATATTCCAGGAAATCTATATCTGAAAGGTAGCAAGGTCTTTCCTACCGCAATCGCCAGGCACCTGATGGAACTAGGACATCAAATAGATGTGTTTTCCAATCCTTTTGAAAAATCAAAAAACAAATATGTCATGTTTATTACGTTATGCGGAAGCCCTTGCCTTCAAACATATTCAACCTGACTTATGTGCGCAGAAAGAGAGTGTAATTACCATTTCTTTACCTTGCTAACTGTATACAGTGTATATAGTCTTCCTTTTTGATTGCATCATCTCTTTCATAACTAACTACTGACTTTAATCACTTAATCTAACGTTTTTCCAGCTTTTTCAAGTAATTACGTAACCTATCAGCTCTTTAACAACCTTTTCTTCTACACTCCTGTTTGTTTGCTTGTTGTCTCCCCTTTCCATAGCTCCAGTATTTTCTATTCTATCAGATATAAATTGCCAGTGATCTTGACTAGGATTTGTGATTAGGAATTCTGTGTTTCCTTAACTTACTACCTTATTGTTAATTATGAATTTCGACTCTTCATTTATTTGCACATACTTAGAGTATGTTATGTCACTATTGTTCTAACATTGTTCAAATCTCTAAAAAGAGACTAAAACATACAACACATTCAATGTGGTTTTTGACTCTATGAAACGAAAAGCAAAGGAAGAAATAAACACCCGTTTATTTTGACCTGCAGAGAATAACAATATTTTTGACAGAGCACACCCGTTGTATTGTTGAAATTGCGTGTAGTACGTATTTGACTATAGGAATTGAGTATAAAAGTATAAAAACCTACTAGAAGTGTGCATATAACGTACAAATGTCCAGACTTTATCATTCTGTTGAAGAACAAGATAATCGAAAATAACAAGTAACAACAAGAAAAATGTAGGAATTTTTAAATAATTATGACTATATTACTTACTTCAGGTATTTCAGAACCCGGTGAATGTGCTAATACTGTATCGTTGTTATCCAAATTTAAGGGTAATGCACTTGCAGGTAATGAGTTGGGCTTTTTTGATCTATTAATGTTCGAAAACTTCCCACTATCTATCGTTCTACTACTGTCACCAGCACCTCCAACACTATCTGCATACTCTTCATCAGATTCATAGTCTTCATCATAAATCTCTTCTTCCACGTCATTGTCATCATCATGATCATAATACAAAGAAACAGAGTCAGTATTAGTCCGAGTTGTGGCACAGTCACTATAATTTAATTTGTTATAGGGTACAAATGTTCTGTCAGACTGAGGACTTCTATCACTTGTGCTTAGCACCTTCTTACCAGATAATAGACGCGAAGAAGAATGCTGGTTATGATCAGGTTTTGAAACATTACTTGGAATCACTACACTATAACCAAAACGATTCCGTTCTAGGTAATTTTCTGAGGTAATTGTTGTTGTATTGGGACTGTTAAATACTTGGTTAGTTGTTAAACGAGATCGACCACTTTGACGACCCAGCGTAGCTCGAGTGGGTAGAAGGGATGAAGGACATGTGGAAACTATAAAAAAGAAAGTGAAAACAATCACAAACTTGGAAATAGAAATGAGCAACAAAAATCTTGCCATTAGCTCAGAAATTCTATCTAGCTGTAACTTCTTTGTGAATCTCGCCTTCACACTTAAACACGAATAACACTGCCGGATGGTATAAAGTCCAACCTCGAGCATTTATCACTGCATTATATTAAGTGGATTGAAAACGTCCATAAAAGGATTTGGGGAATTCGATTGACGTATGAAACAGTCTTGTCGAGATGATATTTCACTCAAATATGTTAGGTACTACAGTGTAAATGCAATACATAAAGTAGGTTTTAAGGAATCTAAATGAATTCATAAACTACATTATGATGATCTTTCGAATTCATCATCACAACAAATGATTATTGCTGTTATAGCCCACATGAAAAATACGAGTACGGAATAAGATAAAGTAATTATTTTCCCCTGAATTGAATGTACTTGGCCGTAAATATTTACCAAAAAGTAGGATAGAACATATTTACTCCCTTCTCAATAAACTAATCGATACCCAATTCCTAGTGAGTACTAGTTACTGTAAGAGATAATCTTCCCTTCATTTATAATTACACTTGAGTGTTAGCGAATAATGAAGAAAATGATAAAAGAATGCAATGCAAATTTGGAGAATGAATGGTGTAGATCATTGTTAGTGCTGTCATCTTTTCACATGACAAGAAAGAAATAAACAGGTCTAGTTTATTTAACGCTCAAAAATTAACGTGGAATAAGAAGACTTCAGAGGGCAATGTAGGCCACTCACTTAATCAAATTTGACAATATTCCGCAGAAATTCTCTAAAGAGAATTCTCTGAAAGTGTTCAATCACAATCCGATCTCTTTACCTTCACAGTGGAAGGGAAGACTAGCCATTTCGGTGAGTTTCACCCACTGACAATATTCGTGTACCAGTTTCCTCAATTAGCCTAAACAAATGATCATCATCAGCGAACTCGTTGAGAAGTAGCCTGAAGGATATTTCTAATAAATCGATTCTCGAGGACGGAAAAACTTGTTGGAGATCACTTCAATAGCAGAAAGTTATGTTTCATGCATGAAGTTACTGTCAAATTGAAATTAGTAGTCACTTGATAAAAAAATAATTAGGTTATTTGCAAAGAATAAGTTATTTCTGAATACAGATTCAGTATGGTTCAGTTTTGAAAACCGTCCAGTCAATGACACGTCTAAAATAATCTTTGTTCCAACTCGCTTCTGAAAAAACTGTTGAAAAATACGCGTAAAAGTATGTTAGAAAGGGTTATACACACCATGTTCACAAGAGACAGTAAATCTGAATTGAGAGTTCCACGTTTGCAGACAAAATCCCAACACATCACAAAGTACAAGTAGTGGTTTTATCCAACCTTACCTAGTGGTTGCATAGTCTTCTGACCGATAGATCATGATCAGCTTATTGTCTAACACAATATGATAAATTTAAACATAATAAAAATTGAGAGGAAAACAAATTCATTAATACATCGCTTGAAATCAAGTAAATTACAATTACTTAGGTCGGAATTATGGGCAAATTGTTCCTGGGGTGTCCAAGGAATAGGATGATCTGATTGATTTCCGCCAGATGGATGACGAATAGGTGCTAAACGTGGTTTTCGACGTGAAGTACTGAAGGAACTTGGTTCTTCACTGTTCGATGTAGATTTAGCCATAGTGAGGGAAGATCGTAGAGGGTAAACTCTGGTTTGTTCAAAAGCAGATTGATCAGATATCTAAAAATAAAAAGGAAAGATAGTTTGGACCTATCTAGTGTGATATACGAAAATGAAAATGTATTACTCACTTCTGAGAATTGAAAACAATAACCTAACAACGTGTTATCTTATTACTGTAAAGAACAACACACAACCGAAGCATGAATGCATATGCAACATAAAATGACTTAATGCCGTTAGAATTTAAAATTGAGAAAAGCAAATATTATAACAACAGTGTATAAAACAACACGACAAGAACATAATTGAAGATTTGACTTAATGTAAAGTGTTACAGCAAATTTCGAATGATTAAAAGTCACTTCATATTTCAAACATTCGGAACAGCCTGTCAAAACACATTCTTATAACGATTCCAATTATCAAGCAGTGAGGTATCACAGGATGTAAATCCAATGAGAAAATTTCTAATTGCATCCCTCAAAATTCATAAAGAAATTAGGCAACATCGATAGCGATGAATGGAAAGATTCAATTAATACCATTATGGAATGAATGAAAATGTATTGCAACATCAATCGTATATATATATATATATATATATATATATATATATATATATATATATATATATATATATATATATATATATATATACATGAGATACATGCACAGATAAGTTTACGATGAAGTGAGACACAGGAACAAGAAAAAACACTCTAGTAGGCTTCTATGCTAATGTAGGACACCTTCAAGGCCAGGTTACATAGCACAAGCAGACTGCTATGCACCACCACCATAAGTCGATCAAAATTCAACGTTCGTAAAGAAGACAGTCAACTGTACAGAAATGAAATAAATATTTGAAACACAGACTTAGAACACTCTCCTATGAAGAGTAAACATTGCAACATACAGTTACCATGAGAGCTGTTTCCTAAGCGATGGAAAAAAATATTTGGTCGCAGAATTTTCACAACAAGACTTCGTTACCTCAAAATGACTAACAATCTTGTTAGCTGAAATTTTCAATACCAGAAGACGTAAAAATTTAGGTTAAACGACAAACTTCATCAGTAATAAAATGTATTTGATAAAATCAAACGAAAGGAAAATAAAAACAAACATGAAAATGTAACATGACAGTTAGGATAAAAACACTCCATCCATCCACATGAATCACTCCCTTCAACTCAAAATCACATTACTTACAGTCTACAACCATCCCTCTCACATACCTGTCTCATACATCTCAAGTATAGTATACAAGCCTACACTCCCACTCACACTCTCACTCCCACTCCCACTCCTACACCAACACCAACACCACAGACAGTCACTCATCTACGCTGGCGGCTTCACGTGAACTACAACAACACATCACTAAAACACGTCTCACAAACCTCAATCAATCAAACATCACCACCTCGTCACTTAACTTCAATACTTCACCTAAGACTCGCCCCACTCAACCAACACACTACTCACATTGTCGTCCCACAACACACCTCAACCATTCATTCCTCTCTCTCCCAACTCTAATGATCTTCCTTCAAAGACACACAGCATCACCAACCAAACTACACAGCAGGTCACTACATACACATACACATACACATACACATCATCATCATCATCATTATCAACATAGGACCAGGCATTACTGCGTAACGGTCCGAGTTGCCACACCTCATATCAGCACATCAAGTAAAAAGGTAGTGAGGTGAAGGATGAAGATAAGTGAATGCAGTCAAAAGAAATATAAAGTATGAGAAGAAAGGAAAGAGGAGTGACAAAATAGTGAGATTCGGTATAGCGTTGTTAAGATGAGGATAATGTGTGTATACATCTGCGCCACTGACTTCGGTTCTGAGCCATATCACCTAGGGTCTCCAACCACTGGTTCCTCTTGTCCCGTGGACCCCAACCACCTAGTCTGCATCGTCCTACATGGCTTAAACCAACAGTCAGAGACTTCATACATTGGTGCCATGTTTTAGTCTGGCCACCTCGGGCCTTTTTCCAGCCTGAACCCACCTCAGCCAACATTGTGTGACGAGGCAATCGGTGACTAGGCATACGTAGTACGTGTCCCAACCATCTCAGTCGATGAAGGTTCACAACCTCGTCGACTGACTTACCTCTTCTCCCTAAAACTCTACACCTAACTTCTGCATTACTCACATGGTGACACCACGGAATACGTCCTATACTACGAAGGCAACGGTGGTCAAATACCTGTAACCTTCTCATGTCTTCCACTTTCAATGGCCATGTTTCACAGCCATACAGTAGAACAGAGCGGACTGCTGTGCAGTACACGCGACCCTTAATAGACAAACGAATATCACGGCGGCGCCATAGGTGGCGCAAATTGGCAAAAGCCAATCGAGCCTTTTGTATCCGTGCAGAAATCTCATCGGCAACTAACCCACCGGGTTGATCCTACTTCCCAGGTAAGTGAAGTGGTCAACACACTCAACCACTTCACTCTCTATTGTTAACCGCGGTACCGCTGAAGACCAGTCCTGGAGCAAAAATTTGCATTTGGGTGGTGAAAATCGCATCCCAAACATTCTCAAATTCCCACTCAAAGTGTTCAGAAGACTCTGCATCTTGTCAGCGTCTTCACCTAACAGGACTATGTCATCTGCATATTCTAGATCTAAGGAAAATTCACCTGTGATCCGGTCAACGTCTTTGTAATTAGGTGACGAGAGGGAAACCTCCATAAGAATATCTATGATAAAATTAAATAAGAATGGGGATAGTGGGCATCCTTGACGGACACCACTTGATGAGTATAGCTCCCTGGACAACTCACCATAGGCTCTAACATGCCCACAAGTGTTCGAGTAGAGAGCTTTCAATAAGGTGATGTACTTACTAGGCACGCCTTTCAGTGACAGACACTGCCATAAGACTTCTCGATCAACGGAGTCAAATGCCGCCTTCAGGTCGAGAAATACAGCTATTGTCGGGCGTCTGTAAGCATGCCTATGTTCCAGGACCTGGCGCAGTGTGAATATTTGGTCGATACATCCACGGCCAGGTCTAAAGCCTGCCTGGTTTTCTCGGGCTTGCTGTTCCCGAGCTCCACTCAGGCACAACAGGCAGAAATGTGCTATTTTCAACCCCAGACTTCTGCAACTCTCCCTTCCCTCCAAATAAACAAAACCACCATCAGCATCAAATATCCCTCATTTGTAGGAAGAAATCAGCATTGCCACTCACATACCGGATGGCCACCAGTAGTACAAATTCGTCCTAGAAACCCAACCCAACCCAACCCAACCATACAGTAGGCTCTTTACACTATCACGATAGATGCCTACCACTAAGCATCTAACAAGGGTTTGGTTTGTGGCATGGTGGGACCTCAGGGAACAATTCTTCCAACCTGTATGGATCATCAGATCATATTTATATGCAAGCCTGACATCAATACCAATATATCAGCTGCTGGTTAAAAAAAACTATGACAATTGGTACTGAAACGAAAAATCACATAAATCGGTGGATAAATTGACTATTTATGAACCACTGGATAAAACGTACGATGAAACAATTACACAAGAAATTCAAAGCGAACTCAATTATTTGGCGAGAATTAGTGAAATAAAGGATGAAGAAAAGAAACATGAATGTGAAAGAATCAATCCTTCTCTCTAGACATATGTTATCAGAAATCCTTTCCACTCGATTCTCCTAAAAAAATAGAGAGGAAGCTCAAAACAACCAGACAGTTTAGGAACTATATTTTGAGTGACACGTGTAGGGAACCACAGATGTCATGGTTTAGGTTCATCAGACAAATGGACGCCATGGTTGTGGACTTCAGATGATGACTGATAACTACCGAAATCACTAAATTTGTTTTCATCTTCATACATGTTAGTTTTCTTCAATAACTGTAATGTGGATTGCGGCAGCATGAACCTTTAGAAATGTCAACAAGTAGTAACTGATAACATAGGAGTGAAAAGAATAGACTACATCAACATTACGAAGTATTTGGCAGTTTTCCTAAAGTTGCAATAGAAGTTAAACTTTATGACGTCAAACTCAGTAATACCAGGTCACAGAAAGAACTCTGAACAACTCTAAAAAAACAGGAAATTGAAATAAGACCAACAGTAACACCGAAAGAGCCAGGTTCAAAAGACTGTAGGGAAGAGAGTGAAATGGCGACGTGCTATTCAAGCCCTATGTTCCACTAGGAACCCAAGGGACAAATAATGATAATAACACCAAAAGAGGTTGTTGAAGTAAATAAAAGGAATACAAGAGGAGGAGATAGGTAACTGATGATCAATTCCGATGATAAGCAGGGAGTATGTTCGCAGTCCTCCAGTTTATTTTGATCGATTTCTTCCAAACTTTTTGATTAGTTAATTTTTTTTTGGAAAATAACGTTTGTAGGTGGCCAACTTCAGAAGATAACAAGACTGTCACTATACCTCTCACCATAACACTTCTCAGGTGTGGTGAAAACAAGAGGTGCTCCATTGCTTTAAATAAATCTCAAGCTGAATTTGATCAGCTGGCCGCAATTTATTTATAAATTACATAAACCGTCCAAATTTAAACATGTAAAAAAAAGTAATTCAATGGTATCCGATAAAAAAAAAGATAAAATCACTTACGATTTTTAATGTCGGTGATAGTCGACCAGAAGATGGTAAGCTTTGTGAACCAAATTCTGAACATTGTGATTTGGGAGGATAACGTTTTGTTGATGGTAAATTTATACATTCAGATTTAAAATTATTACAGGAAGAATTTGTAGGATTGTTAAGATATTCTTCTTGTTGTTGATATGTTGGTGGTATATGATGGAGATTATCCTTTCCATTGATAACGACAGAACGATGAGTTACACTTATTTTTGAATTCAAATTCAACTCTTCACTATCATCATTGTCAACATGTCCGTTACTAACATGATAATCAGAATTATTACCAATGTAATGTTTGCCAGTTTTCGAATCAAGTAGTGAAGAACTGCAGGTTAGCTATGAGACATTATCAAATATATAGGATTACAGTAAAAGCATATACTTCGTTCCTTTAGTAAATTCAGATAAGTATAATAAATTGCACAGAATATATCTAAATTTATACATTTCACCGCTTTCTTATTTAAATACATACAAATGAGTTAGAGTTTAATGTTAGAAAGAAACAATATAAAAATTAAAATTTCAGAAATACATAAAGATAGTAATAGAATTTGCAGTGGGAGATTTGGAAAGTAATTTTAGAATATCATGGGGAACACTTTACACACTTCCAACACAATAGGTGAGGAGTTGATATTTATAGTATATAAAACTTTTTCAATAAAGACTGAAAGCAGCACTTAGCATAATATTCTTCCACGAAATATGAATGTATTTCGACATGATAAAGAGTGGAAGAAGTAGGATTATATAATTTAAATTAACACTATATGAACATACTAGTAGTTGTTTACTATTTCCCGAAATGTAGGTTTTTAACCAAATGTCTGGGTTAGTTTATCATGTGTTATTTTATATGAAGCACTACTGATGACATACCTTCATCTGTTGGTAAAACATTCACGATCATATATGAATCATGAAGAGTGTTAAACAACTGTAATTCTTATCTTTTCTATTGCTGAATTTATTCATTTACACATATCTGTTCAACCAAGTGCATTAAGAGAATAAATAAATACACTGATACTCTTGAACATACTTTTAAAATATCCAATCTAGAACGATCACACGAAACTAATATTCAGGAAATACGTCAATCACATAAATCATTGTAGATAATAAACAATAAACACTATAACTTAAGCTTTCACAGGAAATACTACATTTGTACTTTGATGTTAACCAAGAGAAGTGATCATTTTGTTTTTAGCTCAATTGGTGATAACAACATTAATATACTGAAATGTCTTATATTTCTTCTTTGACTGTTATCACGATTTATTACACAGCAGACTGATCTCTTTATACACATAGAAGACTGGCAATTTAATTTAATTCCAGATTCTATTTATGCTACTGCTTTGTGGTCAATCATTTTTCCTCTGATATATAATCTTACTTAGAATTTTAATAACAATATTCTTGAAAAATTCAACTTCATGATTCGCCATTTCAGCTTAACATTTCCAATATCACTATTCTCTGACGACAAAATATTTGAGAATAACAAAACGTTTAGCAGTTTTTCTACATATACTCATATTCAGCTGAAAATAATCCAAACGCATTGACAACAAATTTAATAGTTATTCTTCTTATTTATAGTAATGATGGGTAGTGGCTAGCAGTGGAATCCAGGATGCGCATTTCGTCTTAATTGGGACTCGTCAGCTGGATGTACCTGCCTCCCAGTGAGTGTTGTTCCCACTAGGACTCGGACTCGGGAGCGATCGCTTCAAACGCCAGAGCGTTATCCACTACACCACCGAGCCACGATAGCGTTTGAATCGATCGCTCCAGAGTCCGAGTCCAGGCGGGAACAACATCACTCACTGGGAGGCAGGTACATCCAGCTGATGAGTCCCAAATAGGACGAAATGCGCACCCTGGATTCTACTGCTAGCCACTGCCCATCATTACTACACATAGTTAAAAGACAGGCATTGTCAAGGCATCTGCGTAGGAGCCCATATGCCAACAGAGACTGACCAATTCGGTCCAATCAACGACGGCGTTACACAAGCAATACCACTATTCTTCTTATTGTTTAAAATTAGCACATTCATTAAGTGCATACATAAATATGAAGAATGAATCAAAAAATAGCTAAGTAACTGATTATACCTATTAGCCATAATCATTTTGTGACTTGAAAATTTTTGATGACCTTGTACTGACCCATTAGCTAACTATAGATACATAGATATTTTGTTGTAACTATAACTACGATTGTACAGCTTTTGAAAACTGATTCATCGAAAAAAAATTTTCTTCACTAGAATGTATTTTGTTAGCTGGTTAGGATTAAAAGATACATGCATTTCAGGCTTTAACAGCTTTCAAATTAGCCTACATTCTTATTCAGTGAACAGTATTTGTACACGTCTAAAAATCAAAATTGATGCCTTAACAGAAATAACTAATTTCATTTTTCTACTATATACTGCACAACAGTGAAACGAATTGGTAGGACAGCAAAAAGTGGTAACAGTAGAAGTAGTCACTAGCAGAATATAATGCATAACCTTTTTTAAAAACAAATGAAACCTCTTACAACTACCTACGCGAGAGTTAAAACTGGAAATAGTAACAAAATTAATGCAACTCAACCCGGTAAAGACTTATGCACTAGACTGTGACACTACCCGATTACCCAGGCAGAAGTAGGTGGAGCATGGTTTGAGGTTACGATTCATCATTTGAATGTCAAGTTCTTATGATAGCAGACCATAGCAGTACTGTGAATAGCCTTGTTTAAATGTAGCTAGCTAATGTTGTGTTATTTTGTGCACTTGGCTCTGAACTGTACCAAAAGTGTTAAATTTAATGATCTTGTACGCTTGTTCGAGTAGAATTACAAGGATTATATTTGAACTTGCGATCCAGTGGTCGATAGGCGAATATTTCGACTAACAAAACACATCTTTTTTTAAACGATGTCTAGAAGAATAAGCTTATTTGGACCCTTAAATACATAACAAGTGTAATAATAGTAAGTATAGTGGAATAGCTTTCTCATGGGAAAATGGCAGAAACCCTCAAACTCTATTAGTCAGTTAGTGCATGAAGAATAAACATGATGATATAATCTCTGACTCCACCAGAGAGTTAAGCAGATTCAGATCAGTGAAGGAAGGCTATTTTCTATATGATGGTAGATGCGTCCTGCTGATGAGTGCCAACAAGCATAACATCTAGATCTATAGTACTCTCCAAGCATCTAACGCTGAAATATGGCGCAACGCAGCTTCATGTTACTTAGCTTAGTGGCAATAATGCAAACTATATTGACTGACTTCAGTCAACGTTAAGCTGTAAAGACTCAACAACTACATTGGTTACCTTCTGAAAATCAATTGTTGCAATAATTACGTCATTATTTGAGTGTAACCTTAGGCTAAAAGACCGCATGGGTGTTCAGTGATTGTATATAGTTGAAAATGCAGAGAAATTTCAGAAATGGAAAAATACTCACACTTCAATAAGCTGACATTTTATGGAAGGTCAGAATAATCTACAAAAATTTGCAGGTTTTTAAAGTAAACAAAGTGGTTATGTAAAAGACATTGAAAAAATAGAAAACGGCCATAAATTGGTCCTTGTGCTCCAGTGGCCTCGTGGATAACCCTTTGATGTTTGAACCGATGGATACTGGGTTCCAGCCTCAATGCGAACAACATCACTTACTAGGGTACAGGTACATCCAGCTGACAAGCCCTAAATAGAACGAAGCCCACGTCCAGCATTCTACTGCTAGTCATCAAATGGACTAAAATATAATGAATATCAAGGCATCCGTATAGAAGCCAATCTCCCAACAGAGGTCGAGGAATTCGACTCACTGTAGCAGCAGTAAATTACAATATCAATAACTACAAAACGGGATTTTGATCACTGGATTGTGAAATAACTTAACTGAAGACAAGCGCATTAGATACGAACTCGTATCCATAAACCGAAGTGAATACGGTTCACTCAACCCTAGTGCTACCTACCAGTGATATCGAACTAGAAAAAGCATGATGTCTGAACAAAGATTATTTAAACCTATTTCGATAATGTTCAGCATAACCTGATTCCTCACATCGTAATGCAACTAACACGGACTAAGAAGAAAGATGAACTTATCATTAAGAGGTACTAGCGACAATGTATGCCGATAAGCTCGAAATCATAGTCACGCGAACAGATAACAGCGACCATCTACTGAGGTTGCAGTCAGATAATCACCTATTTCCGGCTAGCAAGAACTTCAGGTATAAAGATACACGCCTTATAACGTGGCCTCCATCGAACTCAATACCGATATACAATTTAGCTATGTTACTCCTGGAGACAGTCGGTGAGTGTATGTTTACACCTGAATGAATGTAGAAACACCATAGCAACAAGACCACTGAGAATACAGCCAGACGATGAGAATACTAAGCCTGTTTTCAACGAAAAACTGGCTAGACAGCTATTAGAACAAAGTGACATCATTCATCAAGAAACCTGCCACCGCCTTCGGGCGTTAAAAATCGTATCAGAATCTCAGATGGTTAGAAAGAGCTAGTGAATCGCAGCAGTTTCTTCTTAGTTAATGAATTCATGTGAACACATCCCCCCCAGTAAAATGAGGGGCAAAAGTAAACCAAATATAGACTAACAAAACGTCTATGAAGTGATCTCGAGCAGTAATGAGTAGCGAAGGCTAGTGGGGTGCAAAAGACAGAGGCGACAAGTAACAGCAGACTGCTGTTTAGACTTATAAAAGAAACTGATGCGGAAAGATCACTTATTAGTGAGACTACATCAGACAAGGATGGATCTGCAGTACATGTGCAGGACAGAAAACTGGAACGAAGCACGGAACACTTCGAGAGACAGTTTAACTGGTCTCCAGCTACCATCCCGTTGTCCGCGGTCTGGATGGATCCTGAATGCAACATTGAGGTGGCAGGGTCACACAGACTAGCTCTAGAGGTATTTAGGGAAGGTGGTGGCCGACTACTGATCAGTTTGGGTATGGGAACCAGATATGATCCCCTCCGATTCGTCTCAATCACTGATTATCCCAGTCTTTAAGAGAGGTGAGAAGTCCTCTTCTGATAACCACAGAGGAATCAACCTGAGGAGTATAGTGTTTAGGATTCTAGGTTTTATTGTTATCAGACGTCTGAGCGAGTCCCAGGAAACCAGCTAGGCTTCAGACCTGATCGTGAGTGTCGTGAGCAGATATTCACCACTAGTTTCTGGAACATAAACATATTTACCAACACTCTAGAATGGCTACGTTTCTCGACCTGAAGGCATTACTCGACTCCGTCGACCGACGTCTTGTGGCAGTGTCTCTCGCTGGAGGGAAAGGCCAGGTAACTGCATCATCATGTTGAAAGCTCTGAATTCGAACACCCAGAGGCGTGCTAGATTCAACGCTGAATTGTCAGGTGATTTGCGTACGTCGATAGGTATTTGTCAGGTGTGTCCACACTCTCCTTTCTTTTTCAGCTTTATTATAGACGTACTTATGCAGTCCTCCCTCTCACCGTCTGACTTCACAGGGACCGATCTGATCATAGTGGAGACCTTAGTAAATCTAGAGCAAGCAAATGATACTTTTCTGCTAGGAAAAGACGCTGACAAGATGCAGAGCACTCTAGACACCTTGGATAGTAATTTAAGAATGTCTGATATGCGTTTCTCGACACCCAAATGAAAGTTGTTGCTCCGGGACTGGTCTTTAGTATCCCTTTGCTTAAGGATAAGCAGCCAAGCGGTTGACTGCACTGACCACTTCAATTAACTAGAAAGTCAGATCAGTTTTGGTGGGTCAGTAACTGACGAAATCTCCGCATGGATAAAGAAGGACCCATTAGCTTTCACCAACTTACGTCATTTATGGCACCTTCGTGATATTCCGTTATGCACTGCGCTGTAGCTAGCTTTGTCCTACTATATATCAGTCAAATATGGCCATTAAAAGTAAAGGACATTAAGAATTAGTGAAATAAAGGATGAAGAAAAGAAACATGAATGTGAAAGAATCAATCCTTCTCTCTAGACATATGTTATCAGAAATCCTTTCCACTCGATTCTCCTAAAAAAATAGAGAGGAAGCTCAAAACAACCAGACAGTTTAGGAACTATATTTTGAGTGACACGTGTAGGGAACCACAGATGTCATGGTTTAGGTTCATCAGACAAATGGACGCCATGGTTGTGGACTTCAGATGATGACTGATAACTACCGAAATCACTAAATTTGTTTTCATCTTCATACATGTTAGTTTTCTTCAATAACTGTAATGTGGATTGCGGCAGCATGAACCTTTAGAAATGTCAACAAGTAGTAACTGATAACATAGGAGTGAAAAGAATAGACTACATCAACATTACGAAGTATTTGGCAGTTTTCCTAAAGTTGCAATAGAAGTTAAACTTTATGACGTCAAACTCAGTAATACCAGGTCACAGAAAGAACTCTGAACAACTCTAAAAAAACAGGAAATTGAAATAAGACCAACAGTAACACCGAAAGAGCCAGGTTCAAAAGACTGTAGGGAAGAGAGTGAAATGGCGACGTGCTATTCAAGCCCTATGTTCCACTAGGAACCCAAGGGACAAATAATGATAATAACACCAAAAGAGGTTGTTGAAGTAAATAAAAGGAATACAAGAGGAGGAGATAGGTAACTGATGATCAATTCCGATGATAAGCAGGGAGTATGTTCGCAGTCCTCCAGTTTATTTTGATCGATTTCTTCCTGCAACAACCGAATCGATGTTTGAAGTTTCTAGGTGACATGGCTTACAAACGATCTCACTGGCCTAAATGTATCCACGCATTATTTTCATTTTAATCTTAATTCTAAGTTTCAGTTTTCCCTTATTCCTCTTTGCTCTCTTCTGAAGACTTTGTACCACTTTAAACAGATTTCTTTTTCATTTCCTTATCTCTCGCCTTAGTAGACTCTCGCTTGGTGTGCTCATATGAGTAATGGTAACTTGAATCGCTACGCAATAATGCTGGATCATATGTTAATGTTATCTGTTTGAACGTAAATAAGAGGTATTAGTAAATCACTGTGATTAAATAAGAATCAGTAATGTAGACAGGCAGGTTTGCTACTATCAATAAGAATGTACTGAATTAAATACCATAATACTATTCATAACTCTTTGATCCTATATACGTTAAATATTACTAAATACAATTTTTTATAGTAACTACAGCTGCAGACGGTTAGCAATAACAATGAAAACAATATTCAAAGTGTATAAACGAAAAGTCTTTGTCCTATTGAAAAATTGGAGCACTTCACAACTCTATACGTAATTATTGCTCTGTTTTCCAACATCTTTTTGTACTTCTTTTTAATATTTCATCCATGCGTTGACTTTGTCTTGTTATGTTACATCCTAGTATGTGACTCTGAACTACCAGTTTCCAAAGTCAAACACAGAAATAAAGATGTACTAATTACAAATATTAAGATAAAATAGGTAGAATTTGTTTCATTTCTTAGTTTATGTATGTTGCGCATTAATACAAGAATAAAAGATTCATTACCGAAACCCTTGGGATATACTACTTAATAAATAATACATATGTAATACATGTGAAGATAAATAAACAACATACATTTAAATCTGTAGAACAAATACAAGTTTTCAGCTATAAATGATTGATTGACTAGTACACTGTAAGTTTAGATTCAACAATCCTTCGACTATAATTAATATACTTCAGACCATCACAGATAGGGAAAATGAATAAAATTTTAAATGGAGGTAGATGCAAGTCAAGAGGATGGAGAAGAAACAAGAAGACATTAAACATTTGATATAATAAAAGAATCATTTTTTACACACCCTTTCTCTAGATCATATTTCCTCATACCACTACTAATTTTAAGTACTATTTTTATTTCAACTGTTGTGATTTTTTAAGATGTGCCATAGTGAAGAATTAGAATATATCCAAGTTGAATACAGGTCGTCATTCAGCTTCATTAAAAATGGAAAACAATTAATGAATACGTTTTCTAATTAGTTAAGAAGTGAGAAGAAGTCAATTAGATCAATGCTGAAAAAGTAATTCATTTCCAATTGAATTTCATAACCATTAAAACTGACACTAACAACAAAAAAAAGAACAATCAAGCAACTTACTAGACCATTTTCAGCTCCCTTTCGAAGATGATTAGCGTCATAGTTAATTTCAGTTGATGAACTGTTAACACCAGGAGTAATGGATGAAGAACAATTTGAATTACGACGATTCAATCGAGATGATATTTTTCCAGGGTATGAACTAGACAGATTAATACTAATACGTGGATCCCAGGGGAGCTGATTTCGTCTGCCTGTTAAACCTGCACTAGGTCGACGACGATAATTATCTTTAATAATTAATAAATAAAACAAAAAAACACAAAATAAAAACAGCTGCTCTATCCGGTAGAAGTAAAATGCAAAAACACGACGGAGAATAAATGCATCTCACTTACTTCATAGAAGTTAGTGCAAGTTAAATAATGTAAAACACGAACTTAATTAGTATCAACGTGGCACCAAATATTAATATTCAATGCTCTAAGTTCATAGATAACAAATCATATTAAAATGTAAGGCTAAAAAAAAGAACGATAAGCAACAAGAAATGGCAAAGTCGGTAACTATAGAAAGCCAGTGTATGAAATGAAGAGGGAATAAGACAAACATGAAAATGTAACATGACAGTTAGGATAAAAACACTCCATCCATCCACATGAATCACTCCCTTCTACTCAAAATCACATTACTTACAGTCTACAACCATCCCTCTCACATACCTGTCTCATACATCTCAAGTATAGTATACAAGCCTACACTCCCACTCACACTCTCACTCCCACTCCCACTCCTACACCAACACCAACACCACAGACAGTCACTCATCTACGCTGGCGGCTTCACGTGAACTACAACAACACATCACTAAAACACATCTCACAAACCTCAATCAATCAAACATCACCACCTCGTCACTTAACTTCAATACTTCACCTAAGACTCTCCCCACTCAACCAACACATTATTCACATTGTCGTCCCACAACACACCTCAACCATTCATTCCTCTCTCTCCCAACTCTAATGATCTTCCTTCAAAGACACACAGCATCACCAACTAAACTACACAGCAGGTCACTACATACACATACACATACACATACACAGTACGTAGTCAAACATCTTCCCACAACAGGCAGAAATGTGCTATTTTCAACCCCAGACTTCTGCAACTCTCCCTTCCCTCCAAATAAACAAAACCACCGTCAGCATCAAACATCCCTCATTTGTGGGAAGAAATCAGCATTGCCACTCACATACCGGATGGCCACCAGTAGTACAAATTCGTCCTAGAAACCCAGCCCAACCCAACCATACAGTAGGCTCTTTACACTATCACGATAGATGCCTACCACTAAGCATCTAACAAGGGTTTGGTTTGTGGCATGGTGGGACCTCAGGGAACAATTCTTCCAACCTGTATGGATCATCAGATCATATTTATATGCAAGCCTGACATAAATACCAATATATCAGATGTCAGGCAAGAGATGTGAACTCATAACTTTGATAGGCTCTGGTGATAGGAAACTCTAAACCTATAGGTTTTGTGCTTGCCAATAATTACTAGAGGGTACCTGTAACCTACAGATTGGCGTTGTACTGTTTGTTGGTGATTGGACCGTTCGTCACTCATCACTGAAATCAGTTCTCATCATAGTCAATTAGCTACAAATGATATGAGGTGTATTCAGGACTAATATGACCAAAATCTTTCAGTTTATACGAAACAATGTTTTAAACCGGAAACAGTTGATTCATCTATTAACTTACAACCTACTTACAGTTCACTAGGAAGATGAAAAAGCAGAGAATTACGTATAGCCAATATCAGAACTGATTTGTGAAGCAGTAATTAGGAGGTGAGATTCAATAGTCATACATTTTTTCAAACTAGATATCTGGATTCGGTAAGTTGGAGACATGTTCGTAATTCTCAGGCAGGATGAAATAAAAAAACACGTTCAAACTAATCAAACAAACATTTAAAGGCATTCTTGTCCATAAAGAAGGAAAAAAATAATAAAATTACATCCTTAGATTTCCTCATCAGCAGAACCCCAATGGGACTTTGTAAACTTAAATGTACAGGGAAACTATAAACACCGATGAAAGTTTGAATATTACAGTCCATAAGAAATGTTGTGCAAAACACTATTGATAAGAGTCAAGATCCATTGCACAGTGCGACAGTAACAAACAGAACAATTCTACTCCAATAAAAAGTTTTCTCTCGGCGTGACCGAATGAAATGTACAGTCGAAGAGGTTTATATGTGATAAAAAATATCTATCCTAACTGACAACCACAAAACGATCAAGTTCAGTAAAAGTAATGCCCAAACATTCGCATAAAATTTAAATACGCTTTAATTCTTGCTGAAGTTGGAGCTAGAGATGTCATAAAGTCTGGTGATGCGACGTCCACGACAAAATATCAAAGCCGGGAACATTAAGCTATCGTCACTTTTTATTTCATCAGGCTTCATTGAATTGTTCGCTCTTCCTCAATGTTCTATTTGTTTACTTACGGTTTTCTGCTTTCGCTGCTTTTTCACCTACGCTGTTTTACAGAATACCGAGGTGGACCGATACACGTCTGTCCAAAGTTCTAGGTTAAATCTGATTCTCTACCATATTGCACTACATTACCGACATTGCGAACATTATAATAAAGAATTTATTTCTACAGGTATATATATACAGGAGCTATACGATGAGAGGTAGCTTAAAGTACTTGAGTCAGCGCACTTCATAACCTCTTACTGTAAAAATGCTATGAAAGTTTACCAGATTTATCTTGAAGAATCTAGTTGATAACAGACATGAAAGAAACATTATCAAATTATGTCCAGTGGTAATTGAAAATTTCTAGTTCCATAGAATACATCAAAAATATAGGATGGGCACATCAGCCACTAGATGGGAACCAACGAAGCTATCAAATCCTAAGTCTTCAATAGTGATCAGAGCCGAATGATCTTTTTGCAATGCAGTTGCTAGGTTAAGTGATATGACATTGTGATCCACCGAATTCATCTATATAAACAATAAAACCATCCAATAATAGGCGGCTTACATTTGACTTTTTGAACTGTTGATAGATTTGACAGTATATTCAACTGATTTTCCGATGCTGATAAAGGAGAGTTTTTAACAGTTGATGCGGTAGTGACTGTGGTAGACGCGAAACATACAGAATTTGAAATGCACGATTTTATTTGTGAATCTGTATTCTGATTGGGACTCAATCCTAGCGTATTGGCCAATATTGATGCACCAGGTACACTATTGTTTTTTCGTATAATACGTGAATGACTATCTAATTGAGGTAACTGACGTTTAGCTAGTCGGTACTGTACCGCTTCTAATAGTGTTGAGTACTTTGGCGTAGACTGATACTCATCTTTCGCTACATACGGATGTTGCAAGAAATCTCCAGCAGCCTTTAACAGGAAATTGTCAGCACGTGATACAGCAGCTAACAAGCAACCCAAATCACCAGCACCAAGAAGATGAGCAACAACTGCCACACAATCTAATGTTGCAATACGTACCTACAGTCAAAGGATATACAAAAAGCATAATTGATCTTGACATTATCAATAATGATGGAAGAGATAAGACGAAAAATGTTTCAAATCAGATAGTACGACAGTGATCTTATTGGGTACATTTCAATAACCAGCATCGAGAATAGTAGCCTCAAGCCAATGGTCAACCAACTGACGTTATATAAAAGATATGTTGATGACACTATCGTATATGACAATATACATCATACACAAAAAATTCCGAAGTGCTTTAATCCCTGTCATCCATCATCAATTTACAACAGGAAGGGAAATAGGCTCTAAAATTCCATTGCCAGATGTTCTACAGATGAGAAAACACGATGGTACACTGAAGAGATCCAATACAGAAAATCAATATAGAGTGGACAGTTGACCAACTTCTATAGTTGACTTCCATTAACTAAAAACCGTAATCTTCTTCGCTCTGTTTTCACGATACCATAAAATTTGTTCTGAAGACTACATAGAAATCTACCTTTCTGAAAAACAGATACCCATTAAGTTTCCTTGAGAAAAAGATGAAATAGAAGACTTTAACAATCTCCAGCACTGTTTCCAAGATGTCGCCCTTGAGTTTAAAGTTCAAGAGGGGATAATGCTTACGACATTTTTCAAAATAGCTGGGAAAGATCGATTCATAAAGCGTTTCATGCAACTAACCTCAGAATAACATAGCACAGTCACACTCTAATAAGCCCCACTGTGAAGGATAAGTTCGCAAGACTGGCCAGTTCAATGTACGCTTACTAATTTACCTGCTCCAGTGGAGCTAGGTATGTAGATCGTTCAATAAGGGGTTTCCTTTCCTGCATTCGAGAACATCTTTCACTATGGCTTAGTAAAGGGCAAAGAAAACTAATCAACTCATCTATTTTGAGGTAGATACCGGACATTCAGCTTCGAATACTTCATTGGATATTATTTGTAAAATCTAACCAAATCTTCTTAAACCTCTACGTTTCCATTCACTATATATTACCGAAGTCTTCGTAATTCATAATTTGACCAAAGCTTCGCATGAAGAAACAATTTATTAAATATTGAAAAATTCCAACTGTTGGTGTGGTTATAGGCAGTAATTTTGCTCGAAATATTACCAAAATATAAATGCTTATCATTGTGTTTAAACTTGTCATTAAAAATATATTTGTAAGAAAAGCATTAATCTTGAACATTGATTACTCCCAGGTCAAGTTATCTCTGAAGTCTCCGGTTTTATTTCACCTTAAATTTACTTTAATCACTATATGAGTAAGTAAGTAATATAATCCCAGTGCGTTTCAAAAATCAAAACAAGATTTTTCTGAACGTTTCATTTTGTAAGACACAGCTTCTTCAGCAGAATTTTTAAATTTACTCTGTTTCACATTATTATCATTATGTTTTCTTTCTATTCACAATTCCCGGTTATCACTTGTATCCCACGAACTCAGTTTAAACCTATCTTATTAGAATATTGTTACTTACTGCTATCCATGTTCCCTGAAATTAATGAATAACCCTAGTTTCATAAATGTTGCTATTCATTTCTATATATTTTGCAAAATACTACTCTTCTGACAAGATTGGGTATAGATTTTCAACTCACTATCATTCTATTTGTCAAAAACAAATATACAAACAATGACTAGAAAATTTAATGTATGTAAGATTGTATAGCCTTTGGAAATAAATTTGTTGGAAAGGATTTCCTTCGCTGAACTATTTGTTCTATTTCAATAGTTATGAAAGAGGAATTTCAAAGCATGTGCATCTGACACTTCAGACTTCATATCGGTCACTATGCATATAACCTAAAGATATACACCATGTGCCTAAACTATGTCCAAGTAAACTTTGAACTTGCTGATTAAATAGACCATCGAGCTAAACCTTTACTTTTATAGACAAAATATTAATTAGCAAATGACTTGATCGAGTAATACATCAAGTTATTAGAGCATGCAAGCTATGCATCATGGTGGTTAAAAGTTAACTTGCAATTTACTCAAAATCTGTCACGATTTATAACAACAAACAATGACATGGATAATATAGTAGTAGTGATAATGATAACAATAACAATATGATAATAATAACAATAATAATAAGAGACTGGTTCCTGACAAAATCTCAGCTCAAATACAGAAGGCCTGTTTGGCACTTGCCAGCTTGCGTCATTTGCGGCGCCGACTGGCGAGATGTCCGACTAGTATACTGCGATGCAGTCCGTTCTGTCCCGTTATACAACAGTGAGAGATGGCCACTAAAAGAAGACGATGTGAAGTGATTACAGGGTTTTGATCAAAGATGTCTTCGTAGCATCACTTGGGTTTGTAGGGGATTACTGCGTGAGAAATTTTGAGGTCAGGCAAAAAGTGCTTTATCAAACATATCGCTTGGAATAAGGCTATCATTTTTTTAAATTAGGCAAGATAGGCAAGTCAACTGATAAGGTTGTGAACCTTCGTCGACTGAGATGGCTCGGACAAGCATTGTACATACCAGACCACTGTCTACCACGACGTACTATGCTAGGGGAAGTTGGATCAGGTTGGAAGAGCGTTCAGAGTAACCAGACCAAGACGTAGCAGCAGTCCTTGCAGTCTCTTATTGTTGGCTGAAGTTGTGTGGGGAGATATAGACTGCCTGGTTGGGATCCCCGAGGCGTAAGGAATCAGTGGTTGAGGACTGATTCTTGGTGATATGGGTGAAAATCGCTCACAAAAGCGCAGATGTATTCACTCCTTGACATCTTCTAAAGCCTGAATATTTGCAATATCCGCTATCATTAAATTTTTCATTCTCTCATGCAACTTTGTCTACTTTGATATCACTCTCTATCTAACTGTTCTTTGTATACTACTTTGAAGTGCGGCAGCTTGGGTTGACACACCTGTGTGCGAGGTTGTGTGTCAGTCAGAAAGACACAAAAGAGGATGTTGATCCAAAGCAACACACTTTACGAAAGCATATAGGGAAAATCAACATAAGTATGCAGATATTACGACCAACAAGAAGGATATGAAAGAAGGAAGAGCAAATGTTTAAAGATGTTCGAAAATTCGAAAACGATATCGGAGGAATACGACCGTACCATTACTAACGATTTTGAGACATCAATAGATATTCCAACGCATATTTGTAATAAACCACAAAATTTCACCAGGTGGTCTAAACTCATCTTCGAAGAACAGTGATGTCACGGACTTGTGTCATATCTCGATCTGTTCAGCCTGATTTCAAATCAACTGACACTATACATCGGTGTAAGCGATGAGTTACTAGATATAAAATATTCACCAGTTACATGTTCACAAGCAAATCAAACTACTGGCGACTCTTATTAAGAAATCTTTCTATATCTTTAGCTTTGTGCTTTTTATCAATGACTTAATAGATTGACGGATACAAAAATTAATAATTTAGTATATCTTGAACTACCTTTCGACGCATTTTGTTCAAATTAAAGTACTCTACAGAAAGAAGTCACAAAAGGTCATAGCTACAATGAGTTAAAACCTATACTGAACTGTAGCTGAACAGCGGAAAGATAAATCAAAGAAGAACACTATCCAAAATGAATCGGTTTGAGTTATCACGCTTTACAATACCACACGAATAGCTAACATAAACAGAATTACAATAAGATTAACAATGATATTATAAGAAGGAATACAGTGACTTTTGCCCATCAAGATTTATAAATATTTTAGGCGAACAAAGGGTAAATGAGTACGGCAGTGCGGTTGACTTTGAGTCACACCAGCAAGAGCTGCAATCACTGGCGTCTAATATCTCTAGACATGTGTAGCACATCCCTAAGCCACCACCTAACTACCTAGATTTTCAATGTTGGCTGAAGCAGAATTTCGTTGGAAGGGAGATAAGGGTGGCCAGACCAAGATGTAATATATCAAGTCTTTGACCGTTGGGAGTGACCGCATAGGTGGATGTAGACTACTCATTTAGGGTCTTCGAGATGATATGAATTAACAGTTGAAGAACTTTAGTATGCCGCTTGAAAACGACTACAAATGGTGATGGCTCATAAACTCTTTGTAGCTTAGAAGTTTTGAACATCTTCACAGACCATTTATTTTTTCACATTTCTCCCATACACTTCTGTCATTCTTTTTCCATATACTAGTTTTTGGACCATTACAATAAAGTAACGAACCCTAAAGTGATGCGCTTTTATGTTAGGTTCTACGTTGATGTGTATCTTCCACGGGTGATGAAAAATCACTTGTGGAAAAAAAGATGCTACCGCTTTGTAAGTCGAATGATATGATATTTCATACAATTCTTTCTTTTCACAAATTTAAATAAAGCAAGAACAACAGCTTCAGTAAAATAGCACGGATGCACTTTATTTTGCAGTTTACCATCAGCCCCTTACAACATAAAACAATTTTAACATTGATTTACATAAGTGTTTGCATACTTGAACCAGTTTGATAGAAAACTGTCAGCCTGAATTAAAGAAAACACATACGAATTTAGTGAATAAGTGTGCAGTATGCCAATATATAGAAGCATTACACGAATATTCTAGGAGGGAGTTAGGTACGGTTATTTCATCCTGGATTCAGATACATTGGGTGAACAGAATCAGGATATTTAGGTCAAAAAGTCAGAATGTAATGTTTAAGTCATTCGGTAGGAAAATTAGTAGTTAGTACTTCCCGGCGTGGATTTTTTTTTTGCTAAACAGCAGCACTTTGTGGTCTTTACATTTAACTTGGAAAGCGATAGATGCAAAAGATCCCAAAATAATTCCTAAAAATCTTGAAATTCCTAAGCGAACAAATAAGCAACACTAAACCAACATCTACACAGGTGGTTTGTGAACCTAATAAACTCCATCACTAGTTTAAGCTCTCAACTAACCGAAAATTAGAAATTTGTAGTTCCTTTGAATAATAAATATTGAGTTGTCTTTTGAGCTGATACTTTAGTTGAAAATCACTTCTGTGACCAGCAATATATGGTCAACAGAG